AGCCTAACTCAATCCAGATGCACACTAAAAATATCAGAGGAAGAAAATCCTATGTAAAATAAATGCACCAGTGTGTTTCGGGGGTCCGGGCTGTGTTCCAGTGGTTCGCTTCAGCAGATCCCCCGCTGGGGCTGGCTGCATGGAGCTGGCAGTGGGGGCCAGCCCTGTGGCAGCCTCGGGGGGCAGCACCCACCGATCGCGCCCCGTTTCGGAGCGGGACGGACGCATCTGGACGCAGGTTTTGGGACTCCCTGGCTGCCCCTGAGCCGGGAAGCGGCCGGTGGCGTGGGCAGGCAGCGGGTGGGCAGGTGGCCGGAGATAATCCCGTGGCCACGTGTAGGAAAGCTGGTGCTGGGCCTGGGCCTGAGCCGGGGGGTTGAAACCGCTCTCCGAAACCACACCGCACGAGGCAGGCTGCCACGCCGCGCTCCCCAGGCGGGCGCCTGCAGCACGGCCGCCCTCGCCGGCCCCCGGGCTTCCTCTGCTTTGGCTACAGGGTTGCTGCTGCTCTGTTAGAGGGTTTTTTCTCACTCGCTTGTCACTAACAGTTGGTGTGAATGAATTTTGGTTTGTTTTGTTTTTTTCTTTCTTTCTCTCCCCCAGTTCTTTAAATGTAGAAGGCCCCAGAGGCTTCTTGTGGGGCATTGGCAGTGCTGCTCCAGGGGTGTGAGTGTGTGGAGCTGGACAGGGGAGGTGTGCCGGCGTGTGCAGGGACCTGCAGCGGCCCCCAGGGCGCCCGGGCGTGGAGGAGGGCAGGGCTGCATCGCTGGGTGAGAGGAAAGAAGGAGGGAACAAAAGTCCAGGCCTTGGAAGGAGGAGGTTCTGAGAAGAAGCTTCTAGGCAGCAGAAGCCCAGTGTCCTAAAAGTGGTGGCAGGCACCTGGAGTTTGGGAGTGAGAAGGGCTGGCAACCTTGTCACGAAATACAGCAGTGCTCCCCTCATCTGCTGTGGCTTTGCCAGTCCTTACTCAGCCTGTGTCAGCTCCTTGGGCAAAGCTTTCCATAGCTTCTCCTGTACAAACTCCTAAAAAAACAGCAATTACATGATGCTGTAAGTTGCATAGTTTGTTTCTGGTTTTCCTTAACGTCCCGGTGGTCTGTGAGTAAATGTCATCCCCACTGTTCAATGGGAGATCTAACTGTGCAGCTACTTGCATAGGAGCACATGGTGAGCAAGAGTTAGTACAAACTTTCTAATTGTTATTCCTTCAGAGACTTGCTTCCCTCCTGAGCAAGAGCACCACTCTGAACTCATCCTTAAGCCCTTGTGTATTTGTGTACCTAGATGTCAACTTGTGACTCAACTTCTTTTTGATGCCTGGAGAGAGAGATGCTGTTTGCCTGGGCCACATTTAAGCAGTAAGCTTGATACCATTTAAAGTGCAGCATAACTGTATTCCCCGCCGGCCTATGGCTTGACACGAGCTGTGCTGTGTGCCTGTACTTAGACATCTTGCTTTAAAACCTAGCTGTATTTTGCTGGACTGCTGAAATTTGGGCCGGTAAAACACTGGTATATGAATATTGAAAAGGTGCTGTGCAACTTGCAGTAGGTAATCTGTAAGGTTGACAGAGTGGGAATTATCAGTGAAATGTTTATTATTTGTGCTTTGAGTGTGACTCTTCCCTCAAGCCTGGCAGGCTCGGCTCTGCCCTGCTCCCATCATCAGCCCATCCCCTGCAGCAGTGCGACCTTGGCCTCAGCCCCCCAGACTACGGCTCAGGGCTGATGAGGGGCAGAGACTACGTTTTAGTGGTGCCTAAGGGACTGGCCTTCTCTTTGTGCATGGTGTGCAAACGTTGAAGAGGCAGTAACCCCTCCTCTAGCGATTAAAAAACCTAAACTGATTCTGTTTACATGAATGGATGCTAACTTCTCTTACTTGTTCGTTAAGCTTCGTATCTCTTTGACCTTTGCTTCAATCGGCTTTGTATCTTTTGTCTTTCCTGCTTTCTAATCCAGAAAGCTGTTGCAAAGGTTATTATTTTGAAACTGCTTTGTACCCTTTTTTTTATTTTTTTTTTTTTAAGAATATAGAAATAAAACCTATTAAGGAGGAACAGACATCAACTAATTAATTTTCTTGGTTTGTTTCTCAACATTGGACTTTATTATTGTCTCAATACCTAGTTTGCCAGGAACCATCACAGCCAGACTATGTCTAGCTGGATTCCCCTCACTGAACAGCATTAATCCATTACCTGGGGTGCTGGAGGCCAGGCTGTCCCAGATAAGCACCACGCAGGCACTTGGGTGGCTCTGCAGAGTCAGCCAAGGTTGACCACAGCTGACACGGAGCTACAGCCAAGTCCCCTGGACTCTTGACTTCTCCTCCATAGTCCTGTGTCTCGAGTGCCACCCGGACTGGAGAGTTTATTACTGCTGGAGAAATACCGGTCTTGAGATGACAGTGTGAACATGCCCTGCTTTGGGATAGGAAGAGGGGGGGGTCAGGGCCAGGATCCCCAAAGCCTTCTCCAGCAGCGTCTCAGATATCCCCTGGCTTGCTGGCTCTGGCTGGCTCTGTGCTGGCTGCTCACCTTCCTTACATTGCACCTCTGATCTGGGCGCCGCGCTGGAAACCCCGAGCTGCGTCTGGACGCGTTCAGCAAGAGGCCAGGGTAGGCTGGGGCAGACTGCTGCACTTGCACAAGAGGGGCTGAATTACTGCTAGAGAAGAATTGCCTCTGAATGCTGTACAGCTGAATTCCCCGATGCTGCATTCTGGCTACCAAGTCTAACACGATTCAAGCTGTTTTTGTGATGAACCAGCTCTGGCGTAAAATACTGTCCTGTGGCCGTTCAGAAGAAAAACTCTAGGAAGTTAATCTCAGCTTGTTTGTTGGTTTAATAGATAGTGTCAGGCAAATAATTTAATCTCTCTGTCTCCATTTACCCCATGTATGTGAGATTTTATAATCCTGGAAAAAAAACCGTGGTAAATGTTATTGTTTATAAAGTGCTTTGAACCTTATTTTAAAAATAATATAAATAAGAGAGGAAAGAAGGAAAACCATCTAGGATCTTAATTTATTTCCATGGATATGTTTCTAAACACATGATTTTTTAAAAATTAATGCAAACTCCTAGTTCAGACAAGGAAACAAATCTACTGTTTGGAAAAGTTTGTTTTGTTTTGTTTCCTGGCTGTGTTAGGCTCTCAGTGGGAACAGTTTGTATCATCACCTGCTTGAGAATTCACAACTGCATTACCAAGTATCCTGGCACGGCTTTTCAGTCATGCTTTATACAAATTGAGCAGTGCGACAGGCCATCGTCATTAACTTTATTTCTACCAAGGAGGCTTCCTCATGGTGGTGAGTGCGTACTGCCTGAATGTTTCTTCTAATACCTTTGGCAGCGTGGCCCGGGGAGGAGCCCCAGCGGGCAGAACGGTCCCGCTCTCGAACTGGAGCAACTCGGCACCCCGAAGCACTGCCCGGGGCGGTTCCGCTCCCCTCCACCCCGTGTGCTTAATGAGAATTGCCATACTTTGTTCACCTTAGGAAGGAGATGAATCCTACCAGTTCTTTTGAAATTATCTTCACTGAAGGGCTTCACAGGCTCTTGATCATTCTTGTCTTTCTCTTTTGAACTCCCTCCGACTCTTTGTACAAAGCACATCTCAGGTTAATTTTTAAGTGATTATTTTAATAAGTGTGCCATACAGCTTTTCCTTTGGGGTTGGACCAGGAGCTTCATACTGGATCTATAGTTACTTAGGCTTCTTGACCTGGATTGCTTTGGTGATTTTTTTTTTTTTTTTTTTTTTTTTTAGCTACATTTGTGAACTTGCTACATATTTACAAATCGATACAGGGGCAGTTTCATCAGTTTTAGCTGCTGAAAGACAACATTATTGTGCCCTGCTTGATGCAGTCATGGTATAAACACATGCAGTGTTGACTAGGAAATGAATATCAACATCTTCTGAGTAACGGTCTCATTGAGCTCTCAATTAGGGTAGTAGTAGGTTTTTCTCTCTCAGAAAAGTGTTAACACTTCTTTTAAAAACAGATACATAAAAATGTTCTGGGGGCAATCTATCCAAGAAGAGGCAGCCAGCTGAGATTCCTATGCAGGGAATTCAGGTTTAAAACCTTCCTCTCAAACCAAGAGCATATCAGGGTATCTCATGGATGTGTCCTGACATCTGGGGGTAGAAGTCTGTCTCTCCTGCCTATAGTTCCTGTCTCATGATTAATGGTCTCCACCATCCCCAAACTGGGAGCCCGAGGGAACCCTCACAGAGGAGGCACTGCAGCTTGATGGTTGTAACACACAACCTGGGATACAGGAGATGCCTCTTTGAGTTCCTCTCCTGAATCGAGTAGCAATTTCAGCCTAGGTCTCCAGCCGACAAGGGTGGTGTCAATCTTTCTTTACATTTAACACAAAGCTTTGTCCTGAGAAGCCCTTCCCTAAAATTTTGTCTAAATGAACGCATTTTCTCACACACGCACAAGTTTTTTAGTCGATGGAGGAATTCCTAAACAGGCCCGGTACTGAATCCCGGCGGGAGATGCTCCTGGGTTTTCCCAGCAGACAAATGCTCTGTGTGAGGCTGCCTTGCAGTAACTCGGTGTTGGCCATCCGTGGTTTTCTCCCTGCAGAGCCTGTGCTCGCTCCCTGGCCCGTGCCTGCGAGCTGTGGGGAGCAGAGCCTGGACTCTGCGGGTGGGAAACTCTGGGTAAAATGTCCTGTATGGGTTGAGGGAGGGTGCAAATGTTTCCATCCTTGGAGATACTCTTGCTCAGCTGGCTGAGGTCCTGCACAGCCTGCTCTGACCCTGTTTAGGGAGAGGGCTGGACATGCAGGTCTGACCTCACTACACCTATGGCTCTTATTCGGATTCCCATCTCCTTTGCAAATGGACAGACTTGCCCTCATACTGGCTACTTTTTTCAAGAAGTACCACGCAGCACTGCCACACCTGTGCTGTCAAGCACCTGGTGATACAAATGACGCTGTTTGTTGATGTATCGGATGTTTCTGTACAGGTGCTGTACCAGTTCTTGGACTGACAGACCCAAGACTCTGCTACTTACTGGATGGCTTCCTCTTCATTTATGCAGTGGTCATGACAGCCCTTTTTGTGAAAGCAAAGGTCAGTCCATCCAAACACTGACGCGTTCGGCTTTGGTGGTGTAAACAAGGTGGGCTTAGCTGTAAGGTGGGGGTGGAGAGGAAGCATGTCTCTTAGAATAAGACTTTCTTATTTTTTTTATTTTCTCTTTTTTGTGTGGTTGATTGGTTGGTTGGTTTGGTTGGTTGGTTTTTTGTTTGTTTGTTTTTTGTTTTGTTTTTTTTTTTACTTTTCTTGTTTTCTGATGCCAGTCTGAGCAACCTGGGGAAGTTCTTTCTGAGGTCTCATGAATGGAAGGGAAGAGAGTATATAAGAGTGTTTTGATGCTACAGTTACGGATGTAGTCGGAGATTTTGGATATTGTTGCTGGGAAATGCCTGATCAACTGTGATGTGGTTTCTTCTGCTGCTTTGTCATTGGAAAGAGAGGAGGGGAGACACAGAAAGTTCAGGATAAATGCCAAGCTAGTGAAGGATGTATTAAAAGGTCTCAAAAAGTCAAACATCTTTTGATAGTACGAGCGTGGTGATACAAATGATATAACCCCAACAACCACACGAAAGGAGTCAGGGGGATGGCCCGGACACAACTTGATGGGCTGTTGTTACCGTCCAGCAGCTGTTCAGCATCTGGGGAGACACTTGGTGGCTTTAGTGCACTTCCACGGAAGAAGGTAACATAATGGGATGGAGACATGCACGCTTCCAGACATACATGTGCTCCCAGAGCTCCGCTAACCGCAGGAGCGGCGCTGCCCGCCTCTCCCCGGCACGGGGCACTCCAGCGCAAGGCTGCTTTCGGGCAAGCCTGAGCAGGCCAAAAGGTGTCTTGGCCGCTGCCTGCACAGCTGGCTCGGCCTCCCCCCAGAAGCAAAGGCTTGCTGTGCTGGGGATCCCAGCTCGCTTCTCGCCAGGTTCTGGCTGAGGTCAGCAGCAGGAGCCCTGGCGGGGCCATGTCGTGCTGCTGCTGGTGCCCCACCGGCCCTTCGGTGGGATCATTTCTCAGGGCTGCAGAACCCGGAGGGAGGGATGTCTGGAGGAAACGAGCAGCGCTTGGTAATGGCAAGGGAGAAACCTTTTCTGTTGCCGGTGTAAATGCCGACTGCCCATGAGGGTGCTGCTCTGGGGCTGGAAGCCTCTTGGAGGGAGCCAGGGGGCCGAGCCGCTGGGGCGCCGGGTGTGGGCACCATCCCTGCCCGCAGGAGCTGCGGGGCGAGCGTGCCACAGCTGAGGAGGGCTCAGCAAAGCATCCGAGGAGGAGGGTGAGCCTGGCACGGGGAGCGCGCGGGGCTGCTCCCGCGGGGGCAGAGCTGGAGCTGGAAGCGGCGCCTGGTCGGAGGCACCTAGAGGCCCTCACCTCCAGGTGTGGGAGCGCCCGCTGTCCTCCCGGCCTGCCTCGCCGTTTGCTGGTAGCGTGCCCAGCGTTCGGCTGCAGCAAGTGAGCTGCTGCCGGAGAGGAGGCGGCATGAGGAGGGGGGAAGCCGTGCCTGCGGTTACGCTGGAGTCTCGCAGCCGAAAGCAGCGGAGGCGCTGCAGCTAAAGCACCACCCTAAAGCACCAAGAACCTGGTGAGGCAACTTCCAAGGGGCCTCTGTCTTGTCCCAGACCTAGGACTTTTTTATAAATCTTCCAGGCCGTGCCATATCTCTAACCTCGCCTCCTGGCCAAAGGAATTGTTTGTGGAAGCTTTTGCTGAGGGCACAGCCTCGTCTCAGTTGTGAGCTTTTTATTTGTGGGCCACACGGACGATGCACGTGAACATTTAGGCTTCGCTGCAAGAAACATGGGTTAGATGCTTGGTCAATGACTGGCCCCACCAAAGGTTCAGTGGTGGTAATGGTGCTTTTGAAGGGAAAGTTGTAATTACTGCAAATATGATTTTAAAGAACAAGTCAAGTTTATCCTGTGCCTAAAAACAACCCCATCTTGAAAGTTGCTATTAATAAAGATTTTAATATATGATAATAACTCAAGACCGTTAAAGCAATACAGAATATAGTTTTACACTGTTTTTTAAAAGGACTGGAACACAAAGTAGCTGCTCTTAGTGCCCTAAAATTGCCCTTTTTTTCCTAAAGGTTTGGCTCAGCAATTCCCTGCTTATAAATATTGTGAGGAGCAGAGCCAAAGAGGAGCTACAGAAGGGAAACCGAGATGCTTTGAGTAGCTGTGGCCTGGTGTTAGGCGCAAGTACAATGACCCAGCTGCTGAGAGCAGCCTGGCTGTGGGGCTTGTACTGCCTGCAGTCCCACGGGCGCCCAGGTTGGCTGCTTGTGGGTTGCCCTGTTTCTGATGGGAGTAACTTGTAGGAGAGAGGGGATGAAAGCCCTGAACGGAGCCACCGTCTCTCTGCTCATGGTATGGTCTCTCTTCCAGCTTAGCCAGGCCGCTGAACCACAGCTGCAACCAGGCCAGGATGATGTGTATAATGTAAGTAACTACTGCTTTTTGTTTGCTTTCGAAGCTGCTACCCAGACAGACCTTTTGGGGCACTTACAGATACTGAATTAGCTGTGGATCAGGAAAACTTTGGATGACCCGGCTAATGAAAGCGCTGTGCCCAAGTGTGCAGCGCAGCAGTTGCAAGGAGGAGAGATGAAACCTGGCAAGGGCAGCCTCTGTTGTCACTTACCTGGCCGGGTGCTAGACAGACACGAGGGCTGCAGGTTCCCGGTTTGATCCCCCCGAGCTGAAGGCACGCCGGGAACCCCGACCGTTTCAGAGGCAGCGCTCGGTGCGCTGCAGGGTGGAGCGCGCCCGCGAGGGCTCTGTGCGTGCAGGCACCGGGCCCTTATCTCTGATGTGCACACCCCAGTTTCTCGCCCGGCCCGCAGTGCCCGCCGTTCCTTGGGCGACTCACCGGCACGCCACCGCCCGCCCGTGTCGCCGGAGTTATTTGCTGTGGGCCGGAGAAAGGGCAACCGCCCAGGAATGCTGCGCTGCCCGCTCTGGGCGGCTGCAGCTCCCGTGGGGAGTGCGTGGGGCCTGAGTCACCGCAGCCCCTCCAGCCCCATAGCTTTCCTCTCACCCCGCAGCGCGGCCTGGGTACCAGATCATACCGGAGGCGTGCCTCACCCGCTGTGCCCCCATCACAGGCGGCGTCGGGTGCCTCTTTAGGCAGCGAAAGGGGACAGACAAGATCCTGTCTGTCCTTCCTAACTAAGGTGCTCGCTCACGGCAGCATTAAACTCTAGCTATTTTTGCCATGTCTAGTTGTCTTTTAATTTATTTTCTCTCACACTTTTTGACCAGAGCCACATCCTGTGTGATGTATGAACACTAATGCATTTTTTTCAGTTTAAGAAATGTTGCTCGTCACCTTTTCAGTAGCTCTGTCAGCTGCATTATTCTGACCTGAAATCTCTCCTTTGCCCTCTTCCAAAGTAACCCTTCCCAGCTAAGAAATGTGTTGGGCATAAAATTTCTGTAGCTTCTTGATGTAAATTTAGACAAGCTGTTCTGTGAGAAAAATCAAGATCGTGGACCTTCACCCACTAGTCGGAGAGAAAGCATGAAAGTCAGAGTCCCTCCCCCTCACACTCTCTCGTTTTCAGCTCATTTCTACTTAAGAAAAGTTCTTGATGCAATGGCTTGCAGTTTTGTGCTGCACAGACCACTCTGTCATTTCCATGGCTTATTCATAGGCATTGTTGTTGACAGTTGCCTTAAGCGGTAAAAATAATTTCTAGCTTAGTTACGGTACTTGTGAAGTTGGACACCAAGCAGGGTTCCCTTTCTTCTCCTGCGTTAAGTCAAGATCTATTTTTTCATGATCATAGTGTCCGTCACTGCCTCTTGCTTTCTTGTTTCAGAAACTGTCTCGTGGGCGCCGAGATGAGTATGATGTTCTGGGGGCAAAGCGAGGTGCAGACCCCGAGCTGGGCGGGAGACACCAGGTAACTTCCTCCCACACACGCAAGTTTTTTCTTTTAATCTGGTTCCTTTCTTCTCATGTCTAACCGCTGTTTAGACATGCAGGCAGTCAGCACGCCTTTGCTAAGCACAAGTGCTTTCCTGGAGAGGGAACGGCAAAATCTGTGTAGTAATTCAGGCGGCTGGCAGCGTGGCGGGGCCAAGAGTAAACCTTCCCCCCCCTCCCCTTTGATCTTTGCCCCTCACACCCCCCTGTCACTTTGTCAGGTTGCTGAGAGCTTGCAGCCGCCCAGAATAGGAAGTGACACTCGGCCTCGGGGCGGATGTGGAGCGGGCAAGGCAGGAGTGGGTGTTTGGGGAGAGCTCGCTGCACGTGATGCAGCCAAACAAGTGCCAACCAAGTAAAGCAGCGGCCAAAACAAGTGTTTCTGCTGCAGAGCCCAGCAGTTTCAAAGGAAAAGGGAGGGGGAACCTTCTGCAACTGCGTGTAGGGCTTGCCTGCAGGTGACAGCTGTAGGGATGGAGAAGAACTAAATTTTATCAATTAATAAAATTAAGTTAATTTTCCAGAAGACAGATTGTCTTAACAGAGCCTTGAGGGTGGGAGCAAGACTTGAGGGTGGGGGCAAGACGGACTGGAAGGGGTTCAGCACCTTCATTGAGCTGTAGCTGTGCCTGGGGGCAAGGGCACAGGCACAGATAAGATGGTGGGGGATGCTGGTAGTGCAACACCTGGGCAACTTTCTTCTTTTGTTTTACAGCAGAGAAGAAAGAACCCTCAGGATACTGTCTACACAGTGAGTAGAAAGACCTGGAGGGAGAAGAGAGGGAGGGAGAGAGGGAGGGAGGGAGGGAAGTAGGAGTTTCTATTTCATAGGAGACATTTTGCCCCCTACCTCGTTTAAGCTTTGGTTAAACTTAACAGCTGCTTTCAAAGACCTCTCTTCCCTTCTACCCCCCCTTTTTTCGCTAGAAGATTTCCACTCCCTTTTCTGTGATGGGAGAAAAACATTGACTGCCTGGGCAGGTGGGAAAAAGAATTTGGATCAAGATACCTGCTTATCCCTTTATGCTAGCCCTTAGTGACTAACCAGCCTTCGTCCCATGTGACACATGCTGCAGTATGTTATGGGCTTGTTCTCCAGCCTCTCGGACAAAGGCCAAATGCCAGTGCATCTAAGAGCAGCTGCTTAGGAACCTCTTGTTTTAATTACCTCTGTCTAAAGGTGGTGGTCTGTGCTCCAAAGGATAGATATCTGAATGCTATTGCTCACGTCTGACCTCGAGTCTTTCTGGGTGTTTGGTGCTTGCTGAGAAATGAGCTTGTTTCCAAGACTGGCCTTCATCATTATTGAATCGGGTGCTCTGATCACAGCTGGTTGTAAGCATTTGGGAACTGCTTCCCCAGGCAGAGGAAGGAAGAGCTCCCCTTTCTTAAGCTTCACCCTGCACTGTTACACTTCCCTTTTCTCTGGGCCTGAGCTGCACGTTTGGGTTTGTCTCCTGAACAAATGCTGCTTAGAGCTTCTCTTTGGAGAGCTTTGTAGTCTCTGGTGCCAGTCTAGATAAATGACTTGGTTGATGGTGGAGTTACAGTCATTTAAGTGTTTGGAGATTAGGTGGTATTGATATGTTGAGCAGATCTGATCTTCTATAGCATCTACTTAAATGCACGTTGGTCAAGTTCCACCACTGTCCCTTCTTCTCTGGACTATACTGAAGTTTTGAAGGCAAGGCAGTCCCAGAAGCACCGGCTTGGAGCGCGGTCACCCAGGGGCTGGCTTGGCTTTTTTGGTAACACGCTGACTCTTTCCCCCTCTCTGCTTGCAGTCGCTGCAGAAGGACAAGATGGGCGAGGCCTACAGTGAAATCGGAATGAAGGGAGAGGTGAGTCCTACTTTCCTTCCTGGTGAAAGCCTGGGATGAAACATTCTTCGTTGCCGCTCCCTTTCCGTGCAGCAGCCCCGGCCGCGCGTAGCTGCCTTGCACAAGGAAGTCTCCGTGTTGCACAGCACCTACAGGCTCAGCTGAGAGCAGTTACCTACTTCCTGTAGTAACCACTGTGTCTGGTGCAGCAGGAAATAAGACGTGTAGCTACAGCGTTATTGTAGCCCCAGGACAAGGTGGAGGTCAGACGTTAGCATCAGCTTCATCCCATCAGTGTTGGAAACACAGCCCGGGCATCAGCAGTGTCCCTGGGCGGGTGGAATAATGTGAAGACTTTCCAACTTTTGGACAGAATTCTGATGGCTGCCCCAGCTGAGGAGGCAGAGGGTATGAGGTAGGTGAGGAATAGTTGAAGGAAACATCTGGTTTCAAGCCCTGCAACGTCTGTGGCCCAGAATCCTGCATTAGCTGAGCATGTTCCTCCAGAGCAATTCAGAGCTGGAGGTTCCGGGTTTCCCCCGTGAGCTGTGGAGGCTGGCCTGCTTTACAGGCACAGGTGGGCATTTGCGAGCTCCGATCTGTGCCTGTCTTCAGACAAGTAATGGGGGAAACATTCTCCTTCCTCCACCTCTGCTCTCGAATGTTTAAGGAGGAACACATCAGTTATGTCTCAGGCTAGCAGCAAACGGATAGTTTTAGCTTAGCTCTGTGCACAGGCTGCTGGGGGAGGGAAGCTTGTTTGGAAAACAAACCATCTGAGGATGCTGGGGATACATGGCAAAATGAAAAATCGCTGTGACCTACACAGGTTCTATTGTATGTCAAAGTGTCTTATATATCAACTTTCACATCCCTCTGAAACATGAAAAAAAGGGGCATTTCAAAACAAAGTTAGGTGTGGAGAAATGCTGAAGCAACCCTGACATTTAATCCCCTCCCCTGTTTTATTCTAACGCACCGCTGCCATAGTCAAGCTCAGTTTACATTCTGTGGGTTCAAAGAGTCGCACCATGTTTTTACGAATGTTTCTATTTCCCCCAAAACCTTTGCCTCAGTCTAGATATACAAAAATTTAACAGGCTGCTGCAGTTTTAATTGTGGCAGGCACTTGTTTGCCCGTGTTTGTGATGCAGTCAGTGCTCTGCTGCGGTGGGGAGGTTATGACTAGTCCTGGGCTTGGCGTGCCAGGCTCCAGGCGGGGGGGCTGCAAGCCCTGCCCCCCCTGGTTCTCGCGTGGAAATGGCACGCTTGTGCCCAGCTGGGCTGCTCTGGGATGCAGCAGCAAGCGGCTTCGAGGAGGTTTAAATCTGTACCTGGCCCGTACAAGGTGTGTGACCCTGTTTGCGTGCTCTGCTTGCACCATGACAGTCCCGGAACCTGTTTTGCTGAATTCTGTGTGACTGTCCCCAGCCAGCCCTGTCTGCAGTTCCTCTGAACGCCTAGAGAGCTTACAGAATGCGTGCTGCAGAATTTACTTCTCCACGGCAGTCCAACAGAGGTCAGGGTGCCTGGGGCACCAGCTGACACGCAGCAACTCCAAACATACAGCCCCGTTTCTTTTCTTCTAGGTCTGCCTTCGGCTCATAAAACAATCAGTGCCTGTAGGAATGCTGCCAAATCTCTAGACATAAAGTAAATCAAAGAAATAGCAGCATTATAACAGGAAAATATGTCACCAAACCAAAATAATTTCCTTTCACTTCCAGTCCTTGCTGTTTTCTCCCTCGCAGCGTGCCTGGGCTGGTCCCGGGTGGGGCAGGTGCTCTCCCTCCTGCACAGGGGGTGTCCAGCCACGCACGGCTGCTGCCCCTCGGTACCGGGGGGGGGGGGGGTGGGGGGGAAGCAGCGGGTTTCTTTCCTTTCGTGTGATCGGGAAAGTGCTCATTCATCTCTGCCCGTCTTTCCTTCCCAAAGCAGCAGAGGCGGCGAGGCAAAGGGAACGAAGGTGTCTACCAGGTAGGCAACACACCCGGCGGGGCGGCTGCTCCCCTCATCTGTCTTGGTGGCTGAATTGTAGCCTGTCGTTGGGTATCGAAGCGCAGGGGGCGAAGCGTGCTGAAGCAGAGCTTTCCAAGGGCCTTTCTGCGGATAGCTACGCAGAATCAGGGCAAAGACCACACTGCTGGCACTGTGATAAAGTGGCTGCACCTTCTAAATACCGCTGGCCCGACCGCGTGCCTAGCTGCTGGGGGGGGAACCGTTGCCACAGTCCCACATCTTGGAGAACCACCTCTGGCCGCGGCAGATGACCCCCGCGGTTCTGTCTCTGATTCGTTGCTGCAGAGCTGTTATAACTGAACCTGTCAGTGGTTCAGCCCCTCCCTGCAGCCTAGAGCACAAACGGGTCAGCACCTCCGCTCCCTTGCTGCCCTGGGGGCTTGCAGTGTTGCGCACACAAAAGGGAGGGCAAGGGGTCCATCAATAAGGCCTTATTTCAGCTGCCACGCGTGATCGTTCCAAAATCCATTCTGCTTTCAGTAGAAGCTTGTAAGTTGCCACTAACATCTCAAAATGACCAAAATAAAATATATATTAAAAAGTTCTTCTGATGTAGCACATGCCAGGGAGTTTTGCTGTAACGTGGCACCTTTGTAACTAATGGCACCTTTCTTCAAAACCTGCTCTACTGAGGTAGTCAGAGGCTGCCTTGTCGGTGTACTCCCTACGCCACTAAACGTTCATAGCAGGGCAGTGAGGGGCAGCGACTGGTTCTACCAGCGGGCACCATGGGGCTTACTAAATCCTCACCCCTCTGCTCTGGCAGGCTCCCGGGCTGTCCTGGGGCTCTGCCACCCCTCCTGCTGCCCGGCTCTTGGCTGCAGCGGGGACCCCAGGGTCCCGTACCGGTACAGCCCGGGCGGCACGGCCGGAGCCGGCGGGCGGGAGGAGGAGGCAGCCCCGCAGGACGGGCGGTGGGGGCCCCTCTGGAGCCCCGCTGCCAACTTCCCCGGGGTTGCGTCTGACTCGCTGCCCTTCCACATCAAAGAGGAGTTCAGAGAACAAAGTTATTGACGTGAGGTCTGGTCGCGTAGCTAGTTAGCAGACAAAGTTCATTCTAGCATCAGTTAGCTCTGAATAGTCAACAATATGCAAATAAAATATACGCTAAAGGCCTGCACAGCTGGTGAGGGCGAGTTGCTGTAGTCATAGGTTTGTAACAGTTGTTCAGGATGCAACTTGCCTTCAGGTGACTGCTGTTGGCTCCATACAAAGACTAAGGAATCACTCACGAGTAAAATCTCTGTGTGTGGGGGGGGAAATAGAATTATTCTACTGAGCCCCTGCCACCCTGTTCCTGACCAGTCAGCTGGGGAGAACTAAGCACTCGCACCTCACCCGTTTTTCTCTTTTTCAGGGACTCAGTACAGCGACCAAGGACACTTACGATGCCCTCCAAATGCAGCCTTTGCCCCCCCGCTAAGCAGGAGTCAGCGAGGGGGTGGGCAGGAGTGGGAGGTGCCCACCTGCACCCGGGAGGAGAGGAGGGAAAGCCGTGCTCATCCGAAGCAAGCACCGTGTGTTTTCTCAGTGCAACCACCTGCTTCGGTTGGTTGGTGCACAGAGGGAGTGGGTCTGGACTTGGTCTGTCTCTCCTCCCCTTCCTCCTGAACCCTGTAACCGCAAGCTTTAGCTATTGACATGTACATATCTGTAAAGTTGTCTCCAATAACAGTGGTTATTAGGCTGATTTTTGTAAGATTGGTGTTGTGGGACCAGACCACACCTACTAACAAACAAACACGGCTGTTTCTGTAGCTCTTACTCGCCTTCCAGGGGTATCAAGACATGTAATTATGGTTTCATTGCTTTTAAAGAACTTGTAAAGATAGGGCTGTAGTTATTTCCTGTAGTATTTATCTTAAGACTAGCGGGCACAGACCAGATGATAAACTTTTTGCAGCTCTCACTTCTGGGCCACAGAAACTGTACAAAAGCCAACGTAAACGCAGTTATCAGTCCAGAGAGATACGGGTTCAATCATGTAATGCCTTTTTGATGAACTAATAAAGATACGTCAAGGACGTGTGTGTACGTGTGGGCAGGGTACCAGCTCCTTGGCTGGCGCGGTCAGGCTGCACCAGTTCCCCGGCAGCAGCGTGAGCTCCCGGGCACGCTGAGGAGGAGGGTGTTCCCCCAGGAGCTGCTACCCCCATCCTGGGAGGTGGGACGGGGTGCTGGAAAAGAGCTGTAGGCCCAAGTATAAAAGGGACGCTCACCTCCTGCTCCATCCTCAGTTGTGCCAGGGACTTACAAGAGTGTGGCATGAAGCCCGTAAGCAACTCAACCAGGACAAAACCAGCCCAGTAAAATAAAGGGTGTTTTAAGTCAGGTTCAGCCCACCGGTCCCGACGGAGGGAGCGGAGCTAAAGCAAGACTAAATCTAAAGCTGCTGCTGTGGACCCTGCCCAGGTGTGGTTACCTGTTCACGTCAAGGGACTGGGGCAGCAGCAGGAACTCACTGGAAGTGCTGCTGTGTAAATCACACGGCTGTGCCTAACTGCTTCGGCAGAAAAACCTGTAGGTGCTTGTAGCTTTTGATGAACATTTTAAAAACACTAGATTTGTGCAAAAAAACCCCGTGAGATCCCATGCCTGGCAATGAATATTTCTTGCAACAAATTTCTTAGCTCCCTTACTGTTCTTCTGCAATGACAAGAAAAATCTGAGGGAATTGGGTGATACCTCAAACAGCTGAGCTGAAAACTACAGTAAAATGGCTACTGCAAAGCACTCTTACTCTTGATCCACGAACAAAGAGGACTGAAAATAGCTTTCTTTTTTTAAATGATAACCATATTTGCAAGATGTAGAAGTCAAAAGTTTCAGCAGTCATAAAATACCAACCACTAAACACTGGGGAAGAAATTCTTAGAGAAAAAGCCCCCCACCTTTATGCTCTTTATCTATAAATGGATCTTCATTTCAAAAAGCATCCAACTCTTGTTTCAGGGACACTCACCGTTGGTGTGAGCTGAGGCTTCTCTTTACCTTCAGGAGGCAACTGGAGCTGTTTTTTCTTTTAGGAGAGGAGCTGATGGTAATCCAGAAGCAGAACAAAAGCTTCAAGTGGAGCGCAAAAAAACCTGGGTTTGCCTCCATGTTGACAAGACAAAGAGCAGGAAAACAGTCTTCTGGCCCAGGTTGATGTGTCAGGGGAAAGGGGAATGAGCCTGCCCCTGACACATTTGAAAAACTACAAACAAGTGCATACATGTTAAAACACTTGGAAAATGGTTTAATGATGTTTACAACAGAAATGAACTGTACAATTACAGTAAGTTTAATATATATAAAAAATTACAGCAGACAAATGCATCTACACAAAATCTACCTTTTCATTCTGATTTACTGTAATCTACACAATCTCTCAATGCCTACAGCTATCTGTAGGCAACCACTGGGAAAATAATAATAATAATAATAATCATAATAATAATAATAATAATAAAGGACATCTTTAAAGAGACAGCATTTCACCTTCCTCCTCACCCCTAGTGTGATCAGCAAGGTTTTGAAATGTGTGGGACTCTCACATTTCAGTCTCAAGAGAAGCTTGGGTTGCGTTTGGGTACGGGTACTCCCATATGGCCCTCGATTTCAAGTGTTCTGCTGACCTTGAGCGTATAAATGCAGTATATGAGGAAGGGCAAGAGAAAAAAACCTCCCAGCCAGTGTAAGCAGGCAGTTGCACAGAGTAGTGAAACAATCAAGACCAAAAATCTGTCTGTCTTAGAAACGAAGCAAAAAGGGACTGCCCAGACACTACAGACGTGCACAAATCCTTGTCTCTTCGAAAACTACTGCCGGATTTAGAAGAAAGGGCTTGTTCTTCAACTCCCGATTCTTCATACAAAGGGTCAGTTTTCAAACGAATGTGTCCGTTAAATACTTTTTTTTAAAACAAAATTTAAGCTACTTCCTCTTTGGCCCATCCCTTAAAAATAGTGAAAACCCCTTTACACTGAGAAAGAACCTCAGGTCAATGGGGAAAAACCAAGAACATGCTGTCTCTTTAAAAAGAAAGAAAGAATCCCAGTTGGGAGCGGCCATCAGTGAAAATGCAATCCAAATTGTCGGTCTGGTGGAAATTCCTCATGGAATATTATGTACAGTTTAAAAACCCTTAGTTGCTTTTCTTTTTATTTATGAACACCTAGGCAGTGAAAACTGTTATGTTAATACATACATAGACACACCCAAAACATACAAAAATACTATTATTTCAAACTACTAAGAATAGGACAAGTTCAGTTATCTCCATGCTATGACTTTAAGAGCATTACACTGAAACAAACAAGAATTTAAACGACAATTTTTTAATATCCCAGAAATATACCAAAATATACATCTAAGCTTTGGAATTACTGAGGTTAGACTAATGCAAGTGCTGGGTAATCGTACTTAATACACAAGTCTAAGGTTCTGCAGGAAAGAAATTATCTTTGGTATCTGCATCAGGCTAATAATATTAACATTTGGATTTTGCTTTGGGATAGAGCTTGTATGACCCTAGAACCAAACACCCCCCAATCAACTGAGATTAAAAAGATCCATGTAAAAAGTTCCTCCATTTGCAATCCCCCCCCCAAAAGTTAAAAAGTCACAGGCATCTACCTAGCATAAAAGGTTGAGAAATACAATGCATAGTTGCACAGTGGTGCTGCAAAAATAAAAGAAATCTAGAAAAAAGGAACTAGAGGAGAAATGAAAAGCTGCTTCTTCTTCTTCTTTCAGGGATTTCTCACAACAGGACAGCCTCTTCCAAGCAGTGACGGGGGGAGGGGGGAAGCTCAGAAGTGCACCTCAGCGTGTATTAATCAACATCACCCAGCCCCCAGAGGGTTAAAGCACCCAGCAGAGCAGCCAATCCTGCACCCAAGTCTTCAGCTCCTCAACCCACCTGCGAAGCCCCCGGCAGCCCCCTCCCAGCGCCCCCGCCCCAGATTTCGCCCCGGGGCGGCGAGTTTCTGCCCGGGGCCTTTCGGGGGCCGGGGGGCCCTGGGCTGGCCCCCCCCACCCCCCCCACCCCGGCTGGCAGAGACCCTCGCCGGGCCGGGCCAGGCCTCGCCTCACAGATGGGCTTGGTGCTGAAGACGCCCTTTGTCTTTGGTTTGTTTGTTTGTTTTGAGTTTATACAATCATTAGGAAATCTTTGGTTTTGGCTGGAAATTTTAAAAGAACAAAACAAAACAAAGAAACCGCCCCCTCCCGACTTATAGCAGCCACCGTGACCTGACAAAGCTTCTCTTTCCCATGGGGGTAGGGGAACTACATTCAAATAAAGATGGACCGGGTTAAGGATGCAGCTTCTGCCCAGGTTGGGGAGCGGGGAAGGGGTACAGGATTGTCAAATAATAAAGAAGAAAATTAAATATTTGGAGATTTCTTTTTTTTTTTTTCTTTTTTTTTTTCCTTTTTTTTTTTTTTTTTTTTTGGTTGTGTTAAAAAGCGAGTAGCATGTACGCAGCACGGGGCTGAGCACACCTCCGGGCCCTGGAGCTCAGCACAGCCCCGGGGCAGCTGCCCCGGGTGGGGAAAGGCAGCGCGGGTGGGCGGCCCTTTTCCACGGAGAGTGGAGGGGAGGGGGTGGATATTCACAGACTAATCAAGAGGACCCCTTGTAACCAAAGGAAATAAGATAAGATTGCAATTTGCCCTCACTTTGCAGTAGCTTTTAAGCAGCGACATTCAGAGGCGTTAGGGGGTCACTCCCCAGGTTGCAGGTCACGGGGTGCTATAGGCCAGAGTTCAGTGTTAATCAAAGGAGGGAGGGCAGACTTGGCAACTCTGTAGGGTTTGGAGAAAGTTAAAGCAAGTTACTCAGTTACGAGTTAGAAATGAGGTATACGACAGCTCCTGTACCTGTGGCGGATAAACACCCCACACCTACTCACACCTAGCCTTAGATACTACCACAGAGGAAGGAAATGGAACAACAGCACTGGCGGGGACGAAGAAGCTACTACCCGGGTCCTTCCCACGGACCGCTGGCACGTGAGGTGCCCCGCGGGGACCGGCGCTGCTCCAGACCTCGTCCGACCCCCCGCGGGCGGCTCGGCAGCGATCCTGTCCCCTCCTGTCCCCTCCTGTCCCCTCCCGTCCCCTCCCGTCCCGCGGGGAGGCCCAGTCCAGCTCCCCGGGAACCGGCGCCCATCGCCGAGCCTTTCGCGCTGCCTTCTCCCCGCGGACTCGCTCGGGTGCAGGGAGCACCAGGGGCGCGGAGGCCGACACATGGAGAGCGAAAGGGGGAAGAACTAAAGGTTTTGTCTCAACTGCCTTGTTCTCAGGACACTGTCACGGGTGCTCTCGTTCCCAAATTGTTTCTCAAGGGGGTTGTGCTATCTCCACGCCTCGCCCCTTGGCATGCCGTTTCCAATGTCTTAGGATTCCGTCTGTTTAAGAATTTCAGGTTTCTGTAGCACCGCAGCATGCCAGCTTCACCCGCACACAGCGTTATCACCTTCAGGGAATAGGGCTTAAGTAGCTGCTGCTACAAAATTCAGCAAAGGCAGTATGAATCCTGAAGTGGGGCCTACAACAGGTGAGAGAATTTGGGGAGGAAAGGGGAAGTTAACGTGATGAATTAAGTACCTTACGGTCTTATGTAAAGCTCCGCCGGAGAACATTCACCAGCAGACCAACACGGTTTTAAGACAGATCAGCATTTTGGTCTGAGCTACTTGACAATGTCCTGTTTGGTAGAGAGATGAAATAAGGCAGAGGGGGGTATGTTCCAGTTCTGGGGCTGAGCCTCAGCAGCACTAAGGAACACCAAAGGGTATCATCTTCCCTCGCCTCCCACAAGCTGTTTCATTTCCTTCCTCAGATTTGTTTTCCTTAAAGCACACTTTGTTTTCCACTTCTTTTGTTCCAAGTGCTCTTTTCTTTGAGAAGTCATTTCTTCAATATCCCTATTACCTATCTATAAATCTAACTAGCTCTTTGAAAAGTCACACAATATTAATACCACTTTTACATAATGTCAGAACAACAATTCTATTAGTAAAGCTTTCAGTGAAGTTCTGCAACCCGATTGGTGTCCGGAGGAAGAGTAGCTGGACAACCCACCTCTCCTCCTTCCTCCCTCCCTCCCTCTCTTCACAAGAGCTCACCAAGTTCACTGATAAAACAACTCAGCCCAATAGCACAATACATGAACATGTACGAGGCTACTCTGGGGAGCAAAGAAAGGAGTCTTCAGGGTCCCTCCCTTAAGAGAAAGACCACACGCAAAAGCTGTTGAACAGACTCTGACCTTGGACTACACTGCTTCCACACTCGAAGGAAAGAAACAGTTTTCCCTGACTGTATCCCAACATCAGCCTAAGACCTGCAGCACTGGGCAAGCCCCCCCCACCGTTTGTCTTCACAGAGCCAAAGCAACTCTGTGCAGAAAAGGTGGGAGCACCCACAAGAGACAAGGTCCTTACAGAAAGGGACACTGACCCAAAGCTCAACACCACCCCCCCCCCCCAGCTTCTCCTCTTACCCGCTCCGAGAACAGCAGAGCTGACAACGTATCAGTGCCTTTGGTTCCCTACGAGGCCACTGGGCGTTCTCCCACCCCAGTGGAGTCGAGCTCCTTTAGAAACCCACCTCTCTCGACCCCCCCCCCCCCACAGCCAGGCGCACACACGCACTTGCACACACCCCCACGCACACCCTCCCCTCTTCCCCCACTCCGTCAGCCTTGGAGGGAGACGAGAAGGGAGCCGGGGGGCCCAGACGGAGGGGGCTGCAACACCCTCCCAAGGCAGTAACCACTCGCTCCTCTGCTGCTCGCACCGCGACACCAAGACATATGCCAGGAGAACGACCCACTCCCTCGCCAACAAGCCCTCAAAGCTCCTCTCCCACGACTGTCTCACAGTATTTCAACCCTTTCAGGCATACCAGCCAGGTGTTAGGAGTAGGTTAGCTTTCACTTCTCAGTTTGGTTTTTTCTTTCATAGTTTTTGGTCTAGACAGGATTAGCATTGCTATTAGAAAAGGAAGTGTTTAAAAAGTTTTCCACCTATCATCAAGCACTACAAGCCCTACATTCAGTAACAAGACGAGGGGGATAAAAGGAACCTGTTTCACTTTTGCTCTCCCAGATAGATTAAGATGCGACAACCGTTCTTCTCCCTCCCCGAAGTGAAACACAACGGACCCAGTTCAGCTCTGGAGCAACCCAACTAACTGAAACGGATTTACACCACCTAGGTTGTTTCTAACCCAGTACAGCCATCTTCTTTCCCCCGAGCCTCCTGGAGACGCGTTGTCTCATCTTTAGATCCCAGCGAAGGGCAAGGAAAGGCCAAGAGGGAGGGAAGTGTGCGCACACTCGAAAGGACCCTGAACAGCAACCCAATCAGTAACCTGCATGCCACCACGTGCTGTGCTGCAGATTAGACCACAGATAAACCAACCAAACAACAATCCCAAACCCAGGAGCGACAAAATGTTTCCTTTGGCAAGACAGATACAAGGAAAAAAATTCATGAGCAAACATTTTCCTTCTAACACAGTCAACCCCCTTCTCTGCCCCCAACATCCACCCACCCCCACCCAACCCTATAAAGTTGTAACCTATAAACAGGATCTCAAATACATACAGCATAATCATGTTTATCAATCATAATAAACATCAGTTCAACTAAACTCTACAGCTAGAATTATCTCCACTATTTATAAAGTTTGCTTTTCTCTTCTGATTTTTTCAGTTTAAAACCAGTTCTGCGACAATGCTAAGCTATGCTGAGGTATTTTATGAAGGTGCCAGAAGCCAGCTGCTACCCACAAGTATTGTTCTCAGAGCTGTATGGTGCTACCTTTCGCTGACGGAAGACGGGGGAAGGAACAAGGAGGGAGAGGGAAAGAGGGAGGGAGGGAGGGAGGGAGGGAAGGAGGGGGCCCAGTTTATTCCAGTTATGGACGGTTCTTAGCAGGGTATTGCAGGTGGAGCTAAAAGTGGCCCCAGGACAATGCCCAGTAGTTGCTTCGGTTCTAGGAATTTGGTCGGAAAAGAAGTACCTGATACGTTCTACATGCTGACCTTATTTGTCTACTCAACTAAAAGGCGTCTTTTCTCTTCTCCCACACTTAAACTATCTGTAATTCCAGTGCAAACTTCCTAACACCCTTCTAACAGCATCCCACAGGGCTAAAAGCTCAGAGCATGTACCCACTAAGAGCGTCCTGGGAGAAGTGGCAGACAGATCCAGTGAAGATAAACAAACCAAAAAAAAAAAATCAAGAAGTTCTTCCTGCATTACTCTGTATGTTTGTCTGCGAAGCTACACAAGTACAGGAATTGCTTCTTTTCATCATTCCAAAAGCACTGAAAGTACTTGTGCTGACATACAGGGAACAAGGTACCATCAGATCACAAAGTCAAAGATCTAAACGTTCTAAGAAATTGCAAACTGTGAGCCAATAACTTTATGACAAAGCCTCCTCTGTCAAAAATCTCTGAAGTATTTTAGGGGTCTCCCTACTGGAAAGAAGAGAAAGAGTCACGAGCAGCAACAGGAGTGAGATGTAATGTCTGACAAGGGTAGAACCTCTGCAAAGTATGTATTCTGAATTCTGTATTGCTATAGTATTTTGGAAAGGGAGGGAGAAGCAAGAGGTATTGGTTGTGAAAATATAAAGGAATTTGTGTTGGCTGTGTGAGGACTGACAACCATAAACCCAGTGGGGGGCAGCAGGGTAGCTTACTCCTTTGGTAACACTCCACCCTAGGCAACAGTCAGGGGTACATCCAACAGGTTTGCTCAGGCCCTGTGGATAAACATCATTTAACCATGTCAGGCAGAACAGGGACGGGGAATAGTTACTCTTAACAAAGTTAACATTGCAATAAACAGATCTACAAAAACCAAGCACCACTGAAAGTTTGGACCAGGTGCCCTATTCTGTCTGACCCAAAACACTCAAATGACCATGAGAAGCTCCTTGTCTCTCTAAGATGATTTTGTAAAGTGAATCTTTATTTAAGAAAATATCGATTGATATTTAAGGTAATTTAGATACTGTTTTGGTTTAGTATTTGTGGTATAGTTACAGGGGTGTTCTGCTCCATTTGTAACAAAGAAAGAGAGAATTTCTGTTTTAAAGAATGTTGCTCTACAGGAACGTGCAGGAAGTTAAGGAGTGAACACTGCTGTCTCCTTCAGTAACTCAACTGCAGAAATGTGTGCTCAGCCAAAGCACACCACAAGGCTTACAGAGGCGACATTTAAACATCAGAGCAAACCAAGGTCTGAGGTCATAGTTCCAAGAGAAGTGGAAAAAAAAAAAAATTTCTATTGCTCACACAATTGTTGGCATGGATGCACACTGAGAATTTTCTCTAACGTGTTTTGGTAACAGCCATTCTCCTATTGCCCCCTGAGTAACTCTGGTTATTCCTACACTTTTTTTTTTTTTTCCTTTTTAAAAGAAATTTTTTCAAGATACCAAAAGATCAGAAGTATAATTTTTTGCCTACATCTCATGCTCACTGTAAAGTATGTAAAATTAAAAGAATTGGATTGCTCTTGCTCAAATGAAAAGCCACCATACTACGAGAGAACATTTGTTGCTGTGTGTTAAGATCAGCAGATAACTTCTTCAACCAGTGTTCACATCCCCCTGATTAACCTAAAAGGTAAAAAAATCACAAGCTGTAACTGCAAATACATTAGGAGCTTTACTGTTTCCACTGAAAATCTCCTTGCCAGCTTGTTCATTGAAAGATAAAATTCAAACTTGAAGCTTCTGATGTCATAAAAGGTCTATAATTCGAGCCATCAGAATAAATTTCTTCCTCCTCATGCTCTGGCACATTAGTTTTCTAGTACAAGATAAGCTCACTAGCACAAACAAAATTACTGCACAACAGCAGCGTGAAGATCCAACTAACTTTCAAGCATGTTCTCCTTGTTGGTTCAGCCGAGCACAGCTTTCCAATTCATGGTAAAGTGACTTTTTGAATCCAATTTAACTCGTGTTTTGACAACTATTTATTGAAGTGGAGGCTCTTAAGAAGTAGCGGAGCAATGATGTGCCATCACAAGTTACCCAAAGAAAGACAAAAAAGTGAACTGAAGTGACACTAGCCTATGAGCTGGGAAAAAAAAAAAAATCTCAAAAATCAGGTACTTGTGCACCTAACAAGCATGGTATCTCCCCAACAATTTTTTGAGTGCACACACATACACACCATCTCAGAGTGACATGATAACAATGTACTTAGACTAACACACACTGCACAGTAACTCAGAAACAAATAAATCCTCTTAAAGAGATTTAAATAGACAGGTGTGACTCTTGCAAGCAGCCATATCTGTGCGTGCCTTCTGTGAGCTGTTCATGAATCATTCTATGGTGAGTACAGAGAGTGTGTTCTGGGGAGATCAAGTGTGCTAAAGCCAAACTGGAATACATTTTATTCACATCAGAACAGATTTCAGTACCAGCCTACACCACCACATCTTGAAGCCATTTCCTAAATTGTTCTTGACCTGCAGGGTGTATCTGTATTTGTGTCTCTGTAAATCTCCTGCTTTTTGAGCTAACTGTCCTTGGCTATAATGAGAGAGTTTTCACCTGTTTTCCTGAATATGTACTTTGGCATGCTAGCAACTATGAAAAGCAACCCACACATCTTTAAATACGAAGACATGGAGCTCTGAAAAAGACACTATTATCCTTTTCTAACAAGCTACAAAATTCCTTCTGATCATATTTACTAGGCCTGTATACAGTTATTGTCTCTTCTCAGATACATCAATTTCTGCTGTCAGCATGGTTATGACTTAAAAAAGAAACTTCTGCTAAATTCTAGTACATGATCTCATATTCCTTTCATGCTCTGAAGGAGTGTACGTGCTCTAAGTGGGCAGACGTACAGCCACTGCCAATCTGATTTCCCTCTTTCACCTCAACACTGGAGGTAGCCAGCATCTGTGAGACAAAACACTGCTAGGGATAAAAAGCAGGCTCCCAGGAGTGACAGTCAGTCACTGGGATGTCTTAGGACAACAAATCAGAGCACGCTGGTGAAGAACACCATGCGGTATGTGCTGTTTGGGTATTATGTCAGCCTCTGCAAGCAAAAGCAAGCCCTTTCTGGATATGTAGCTACTCCGAGTTTCCAGTTTCTCTTAGAAAAAGACTTGCTAAGAAATTCCCTGGAATCTGGGCCCCAGAGGGGATGATGGGGTAGAGAGGAGGAGGGTAAGGGGGTATAAGGTGCTCACACCAAAGCCATGTGACCAATGCAAAGGTAGTCAGGAAAAAAAGCAGATTTTTATAATAAATAAACCATCCAAGCTGCATTAGTGTTCCAGATATGTACTCAACAAGACCCTCTCCCAACCACAAACCAGCAAGAATGGGACATGAAAACTTATTTAGACAGCTAATGGCACAGTCTCTTTGAACTGTGGAGAGAGGATTTTCCGCTGATTTAAGGCCCACCTTTCTTTGTGTTTCCTAGATATATGCAAGGACTGTGCCCCCCCACCCCACCACAAACCCCTCAGGGAGCAGAGGATACATCGGAGAAAAGACCTGTAGTATCCCCCACCCTTTAACAAAAAAATCGTCCTGATAAATCGTATTTTTGCACAGGCATGTAAGTAAGCGGGAACTTTCAGAGTCAGGAACGAACGTTATAGCTGCAGTTTTCCCCATTCTCTTACTTCACTGAACACAAGTCCCAGGGACTTGCATTCCTTTGGTAGAAACTGTAGTCCGTGCTGTGGCCTCCAGACCAGCATAGTGGGTACCAGCACCTCCTCTCCTACTTCTTCCCTACCTCCCTGAAGCTCACCCAGCTATACCTTTTACTGCTCTGAAGCTATTACTGGTGGGCCATTTCCATTTCTGCAGTATTATTCACAGCCCTAGAAGTCTCCTGCCCAGCCTGAACTCATAGAGACACATCAAAAATACTTAGATTTATCCATACTGGTGGGATGAGGGTGGGACCTGTTGGATTAACAATCCTCTGACATTGCCATTCTATTTACACATCAACTAAAAGAAAACAAATTAAAATCAAGTTAAGAGTCTGCCCCAAGGATAACACAAATTACCAACCAAAAAAAGAAAAAAAAAAAAAAGATTAAAAACAAGCAGCAACTTTTATATAAAATTAATAAAAACAAAAGACAAATGAAAAAGAAATTGTCAGTAGCATCTATCGCCTCTCTGCATCTGAACTGCACTTATACAAACTAGTCCATTAGTACAGCAGCTTGCTAGAAATTGACTTTGGTTCAAGCTTAGTTTTAAAAAAATAAAACATAAAAAAATCAAAAACACATTAGAAACGGTGGACGGACATTTGTTAGTTTCCCTGCTTGCAGTTCACTAGTTTTGACATTTTAGGGATAATTGGTTTAAATATTCAGTAAAATAGGAAGGTGGAGAGTTAGAGATGAACAGAGCAAAAACACGGCAGTGGGGGGAGAGATAAGGGGTTCTGCCACTTGAGTGCAAACGCAAATCCCACATGCTCAGGTCACAAACCAAAGCATATGTAGAGTTTAAAGTTGCTGCCTTCTGGATCGTGGATGAGAAGCTCCAGGATCCCCCTGAATCATCAACAAAATGAACATAGCTGCATCAGCTCATTATTTTAGGACACTCCGGTGACAAAAGAAAAGGCGGTGGGAGGGAAAGGGACTCTTCTAATACCCTCACTAGCTAAAAGTAATTTAGTTTTATACACTAAACCTATGGCAGAAACCTTTAAATCCATCAGGAATGGAAAGTTCAAAGTGAACTGCATTGCAGTGATCCAGTCTTCTCTTTTTAAAAATCTTTTTTTTTTTTTTTTTGGTTCAGATACTAGATTGTATATTTAAGAATATACAGATCTAACTTCTGTACAGTTCGTTACTCTTCCTCATCCACGTAAATCTCCTTTGCTACATGGATCAGAATCAACCTTGAAAAGATAGTTCCAGTGGCAGGCAAGCCCCGACACTCTGGTCAGAGATGCTTATTGTCATTTTTACATAGCTACCAGCATCACAGCTCAGAGACCACACGAGATCACCCAGGTATGTGCAAAGTCCCAGAGTCAGCTCTGCTGTGTTGGCATAAACGATGGAAACTTCCGTTCTTATACTGTTGGCTTCTGTGTTCTGCAGTCAGAAACACGTTTTTTACTAGAAAGTTTTTCTAAATACAACGTTGGAAGTGTCAGAATCAATGGAAGAGGAATAATGCTGTGAACAGGGAGAATGTGACCTTCTGGAATCTTCTATCAATTCACCTGGTGGGAACCTAGGACTATAAATGCTGGTTTACATACTGCCAATTAGCTTGGGTAGCTTGACTTTTTTTAAATATTTGTATATACCCTTAACAGCAAAATCAAATCAACAGAACAGAAGAGCCATCGGTATGTCACACAATCCAGACTCAGGAGGTCAAATCCCACTCTCTGAAGTAAAAAGGAACCATGCACACAAAGCTCAGAGCAGAATTTGGCCATTTTGTCTAAATAATTGGGAAGAGAGCTGCAGTTGGTAACTAATTCCCACCTCTGCTTAAAAAGCACAGACCGGCCTGGAAGTTTGCACACAATGATCTCTACTGCTACACTGAGCTTCCTGCACAAATGATGAAGATAAATTCTTCTGACCCCTATGAGTAACCAGTAGACAAATTCAAGGATGAGGAAATTGTTCAGAACGTTCCCAGAAGATTAGGACAGAAAGTCTATTTGTGCTCCATTCTTCCTCTCTACCCTCCCGCCCTCCCCCCATGGTGTGGGAGCTCACTGAAAATAATCCAGGAGCAAAAGACAAACGCGTCCAAACTATATATATAAAAATAATAATAATAATAATCATAATAATAATAATAGAGATACACCAGTAATACAGGCCTGCCTAAATTGTACCAGTTAAGAAAGGAACCCCCAACACGATTGATACGATTATAAACACCTTGTATGACATAATGGCCTGTACAACAGACCTATAAATGATAATTAAAAAAGAAAGATATTTAGACCAAAAAGAAACAAGAAATCCCCTTCCTATGTTTGAGTTGATAACCCACCTTAACTTGTCATTGTGACTGCTGGAAATGATAAGTAGTCCTTTCACTTTTTTTGTCTTTTTTTTTTTTTGTTGGTTTTTTTTTTGTTTTTTTTTGTTTTTTTGTTTTTTACATTTTTGGTTAGAAAGTTCTCCGATCCATGAAGCGATCCTGAAAAGACAGTGTTTATTATAAAATTAGGCAAATGTCTGTCCCAGCTTTAAATCCTTCCTGTTTTGCTTTTGTTTTTTTTTTTTGTTTTTTTGTTTTTTTAATATTTTTCCTTCTCTCCCTTGTCCCCAGCAACATGGTGAGAGGATGCCCATCACATCTGCAGTTTATAAACCCCGCTGGCAGCCAATCCCACCGCACAGTGAAGCAGGCTGCTGGCAGCACAGCTCAGCCCGGCTCACTGTGCCTTGGAGGCAGTAGTGGTGGTGGACGTGGCCCCGCTCGCCGAGGCCACCGTGAGGAGAGAGTTCTGGATGGACTCGGCTGAGGTGGAGGTGGCGTGAAGGCTGGCGACTGGTCCAGAGGCCCCTGCGGAGGCTGCAGCTGCAGAGACCAAGCTAACCGGGTTGCTGGTGAGCAGAGAAAGGTTCTGAGGGTTCAGGAACAGAGGGGCAGTTACGATGTTGGGAGTACCTCCAGCATTGGCAAACACCAAGTTTCCAGTTGCATCCAGTGATGTTATTGGAAGAGAGCCACCAGATGCAAGAGCTAAAAGAGGGAAAATTGAGCAGGGAGGAGATAACATTAGCAGTAAGCAATAATGCTAAATGTGCCTAAAAGCAACTGGTCTCTGCATTTTCCTTCCTCTGATAGGCGTGCTCTCTACACCGCTAACAGCAGTCATCTCGTCATAGGTTGCTTTTTAATTAAACCACTCTTTATGAAGAGTGGACAAGACCTTGCAGATACTGAAGTCCCTCTGTCATCTGCTCCGAAACTAATTCCATCATGCCTTTATTCAGATCTTTAAGTGCAATACAGCTCTGCGTTTCCTGCCACAGAAAACCTGTACATTTGAGCAACCTGTACTGGAAAGGGTTGAGATGCGTGTTCACACGAAATGATAGCTATCACAAGATGAAGAAGGTCATGTAGCCTTAAGCGTAACATTTTAAATGTTGATATATAACCACTGTTACAACTTACTCTCACCAGCCTACAGGGTTCAGTCTGCCTTGGATCATGATCTCCTAAAGGTACCTGTGACACTTTATGAAATGGTTCTTTCTTGTACCCTGAAAACAGGACTTGTTAAGCCAGTTTAGAGGATATTTGAATATACAGGTTAGCTAGTTCTTTAGGCACCTGTACTATCTAGTTTTTACAGATGAGAAACTGTGAACTGAGAACAACTCTTGCCAAAGTCAGTGGAAATTTCTCACTGCGTGGAACATCCAAAATAAATCTTTACTCCTCTGAATAAGGATTTATGGATTTAAAGTTCTACATAAGGACTTTAGGAGGTAGGTTCATTGTTGTGGGTTCTTTTTAAATACATACGAGGACAAGAATTCGGGATCAAGTCTTGCTCGGAACTGCCCTCCTAACAGACCTCAAAACAGTGCAACTCTGCTCAAGCTTACGCTAGAAGAGCTATAAAAAGCAAATCTCTAACCTGCTGGAGATACATGCCAATGGGGGTATGATAACAAAATAAATTCCAGATCCAGATATCATTCAGTATCTTAAATGCCTCCTGTAAATCACTACGAGATCATACACAGTTTTAATCTGCTTTCTAAAGTTGCACCTGCTCTTATCTCCGTGATACATAAAATGTATTTGAGCATTTAAATTTTGTAAAATCTTTACTCCTCTAATATTTATGTCCAGTGCTGAGGAGTCAGTGTGCTTTTTTGGTAGAGAAAACCAAAGCACGTAGACTGAAGTTGTACGAGAGAGATGCATTAAAAGGAACACTACTGACCTTGAATAGTTGCCAGTGTACTGTTGCTCATCAGGGCTGGGCTGAGAGCACCACCTAATGTCCCTGGATTGAGGCTGAGTAAGGCACCTCTGCAGGAAGCAAGACCGTGGAAGAAACAAAGACAAAGGGAAGGAGTGTTACTTTTAAGAAAAGGCTGTCACTGTTCAGAAGTACACCATCATATTAAAAAACCAACAAACCAACCAACCAACAAAAAAAAAAAATAACCCACAAAAAATCCCCACAAACACCACCCCCACCCCTCAAAGAAACCCTAAGAGAAAGAAACAAACAAACCAAAACAGACAAAAAACAAACAAACAAACAAACAAACAAAAAAGCAAAAAAAAAAAAAAAAAAACAAATGGGGTTGGGGGGGTGGCATGGGGGCAGGCAGGGAGGAGGAAAGCCCAGAGATTAAGGGCTAATTTTAGTTTATTTTAGTTTTTCCTTCATGATGCCTTGAGTAGATGTTGCCTTTCAGCTGTGTGGTTAGCGACATGCCTGAAGTACAGGCACTGTAAATACATGACTTGTATTGATTGTTGCTACAAAAATATTCTTGCATTTTGAGGAAACTGCCACTCGTTAGAGAGCTATCATCACCTCCCAAACTCAGATAAGAAGGATGTAAGTCAAGAGGAACTGAAGAAACAAAGACTCATCTCTCAGAGCAACTTTTTTAAAAATAAACCTTCAACAATACATCGTCATGCATCTTTTACAGCTTCTTGCTTATGATGGAGAAATGAATAGAAGTGTGCCATGAGTCTAAGCTAGTTCTCCATTTTACAATTAGTAGAACAGAGTCTATGATTCACTGGTAAGTTACAGCTCTTATGTCAGGCTCTGCAGTGGGATGGATGACTTATCAAATAACAACACTGCTGCAAGACAGCTTTTTCATCTGTCGCATGAATACAATATTTGTGTACACTGATGGGAATGGCCAATTACCATCTACAAGAAAACATTCAGAATTTGAGATACATGACCTTAGAATCACCAAGTGAGCTACCAGAAAATAGTGATACATAAAAGCAATTTATGCCAAGAATTCTCCTTCCCTCTCCTGTCATCTCACCTAAAAGGGTGTGAAAAATTCATCCTTACCCAGCCGCAAACTGTGAGGATGCCATCAAGCCTGGGTTTAGTCCTGCTGCAGCAGCCATGGCAGCAAGACTTGCATTTGCAGGCAACTGTGCAGCTCCTTGTAACGCGGCTGCTGCTGCTGTTTGCAACCCTGATGCCGTTACCATCACCTGGCTGGTCCCAAGAGGGGAGGACAAGGGAGTGGAGGTTGTCTGTGTTGTGCTGGTCTCACTGGCACTGGATGCCTCTGAAATGGAGGCTGAGGCAGAAGGGGAAGGACTCAGGGAGGGTGATGTCACTGCTGAAGAAGCCGGAGGTGCTGTTGAAATCACTGTTGCCATGTTGTTGGAGGTGGTTTCTGTTGTGCCTAGAAGGTTGATTCTGGTTAGATCAGTACAAATCACAGATATGACTGAACAGAAACCACTACCCACCTGAACTGAACTGCATATCCAACTGTAAGGGAGACAAACAAACATTTCTGTAGGACCAAGAAGCACCAAGAGTCCAAATAAGAAGCTCAGACTACAATGAAATGACAAATCCCAACAGGAGGCTGAAGAGCTCTAGAAGCTAGCAGTGGAATATAGCATATTTCATTTCAGCATCACCTGTGATTTTAGCCTCAGAAAAGTCAACAGAACGGTCACAAAGACTGAAGTTTCCTAGTGGAATAACAAGGAACAATGACAAGAATGTCCTGGGATACCAGTGACCAATCCTGAAAGACTTTTTGAAGAGTTTAAAAGGGGAAAACAGTAGGGGTTAACGTGTGGGCAAGAGAAATCAGCCCTTACCTGTGACTGACAGACTAGTTACAGCAGGACTGGTCAGAGGGAGCACAGGGTTGACAGTCAGGGTTGTAGCTGCACTGCTAGTCACAAGGCTTGGCGTGGTTGCCACCTGGAGGTCAAAAAAGAATACAACTGCTCAACTGCTAAAAGAGGAAGAGTTGGCTACTAGACTTGGATTTCTTTCTTCCCATCCTCAGCTGAGGAAGTTATCGGGGAAAACACTGCGTATAAACTAACTTTTCTGTGGTTGCTTTATCCTTCAGTAGACCAACTATAGTACCTTCTCTAATTACCAGAAATATCTTTATTCTTAATCGTTCAGTATTTGAAGTGAGGTAACATCCATTACATCCACACTATCTCAGCACTGCAAATTAGTCCTCCCTCTCTGCCTCCCCCGAAAGACAGCACCTTGTTTTAAGAGAGCTACTCTTCTAGAAAGAGTCACAAAACATATTATTTCTGCATGGGTTTTTTTCTTCTTTAAACATCTTTTCAGCTCCAAATCTCTTTCTCTGATGCAATTATTTAAATGTCCCAGCATTACCAGAGGTATTTAGGGTAATATGTTTACATGGATAAACAGAATAACATTTTGTTTTTACTCAACCGAACTATAAGCTCTACTTTGATAAGCTTCCTCGTGACAGAGGAACGATCTCTGAAATTTAAAACACTCAAATGACATTAGTTAATTTTACTTGTGAACAGCTAATTACAAGAACGCTAACAGTACACTGCACACGACAGATAAAAACCACCAAATATTTAAGGCTGAAGGAACTTGCTTATGAGGAAAATGAAATATAAGGAGAGAAGGACTTTTTATGGACAAGAAATGGTGTCCAACCGTATTTGAAGGCTGTTATACATCAATGAGAGAAATGAATCCTTTAGAATTGCCCAAGAGAACATAGCCAAGGATATAGGCTAAAACCTTTCTCCTTTTCACTCTCTTACCTTAAGTTTATTATCAGAGAAATCTCTCTCATGCTGCATATCCTTTTATAGGCAGTCAAATGCATCATGCATTTTAAACAAGACTGGGGCAACTGGGACAAATCTAAAAGCTTTCTGCCCATCTCAAATAGTGTATGAAATAAAGAAGAGCTAGATACATAGTACACTTCCCACTAATGCAGCCCAGACAATCGTATCTGTCATCAGTCCACCTAACACTTAAGGCCAAGGTCACAATCCATGTTTCAGGGCAGTGGACAACCTAGAATTAATACAGCTAACCCCGTGGTTACAATCACTGACTTCAGCCAATGCAAAAATAGGCTGCCATCAAAAGGAGCATTCCCCTCCAATCCTGCTTCAGAGCCCTCGCACTTGTGCAGCCAGGCTACCAGTCAGATTGGTTATCTAGTCATACTGAAAATGGATCATTGTTCTTCACATGGTTAATTTGCAGTCAAACTATTAAAGCCCAATCATCCTATAGACACATAATCTCCACAGCTGACACAAGGAATCAACAAAACACATAGCCAGTGAAGGCTGGGGGCAGCAGGGCTGGAATATCCATTTGAGTGGTAGCACTGTCTTAAGAGCAGCTTACAATGAGTGAAAATGCTTAGTTAAACATTACTGAAAAAAAATGGAGACTGTGGTTAACACCTCAATTTCTTACCTACAGTGGCACTTTATAACAAAAGGGAAATTTATGTAGGAAAGCCTTCTGAAGTTGCAGTCTGAATAAACTTGCTTGGTTACTAAAACACACTATCATAAATCTTACTACATTCTGCTTTGGTAGCAAGGCATGCAACCTTGCCTTCCAATTGGGAAAAAAAAAAATAAATAAAAAGACTAAGTACATTTACCACATCCCTTCCCCTGAAACGAAAGAGGCATGCATGCACACATCCTGAGACAGGGATGAGGGAAAAGAATGACACATCACCAAAATTAATGGTTTAATGAAGTACTGGAAGATATTAGCTACTACAGTGATGAGGGTGGAATAAATACTACAAAAGGACAGCTACAGGCTACATAAATTCCACCACATTCCTATTAGCATAGCTACTATGAAATCTAATAGCTACTGTTTCTATTTATGAAAACAGACCTCCATGGACATTGGTAGCAAAGATGCTGAAGGAACCTTGATGCATGTGTTTTGTTACTCTTATTTTCATGAAGTTTGTGTTTACCTGAGGCAAATACAAGTGTGGGAAATTAATTACATAAGTATTAGCTAAATTGTTCCTTTGTTCCATGTCTTTTTTAATATAAATCATTCCTGACTAAAAGTGGCAACAACAGTGTCATTGGATTTGTGTGACTTAAGTCTCCAAATGATATGTTGTACTGCTGCTCATCTACTTACCAGGGCAGCCAAAAAAAAAGAGAAGAGGGGTAGAGCTGTTAAGCATTTTTTTTTTATTACTATTATTTTACCAAAAAAAGTTTGGGCAAGAGAGAAAGTCCAGATATAAACTGGAGTTACTATCTGGAATATGTTCAAAGCAATAACCCCAACTGCAATTTTGCTAATCAGAATATTTACTCACAAGCTGACTAATAAAACACCCAAACTGAAGGCTCAACTAGTGCCTGATTTGTAAGTGTTCTCTCTCTTAGATAGTTTGCAAGTGGGGTATTTAAAATGTCAGTAAAATATAAGTTTGTGCGAACAACTCTGCTGTCCAAAGAAGATGGAGCATGTGCAACTTCCACAGTGAGCACAGTAGAACTATCTCTTCCAGTCATCTTTATCAACACAGTTTCTTGATTCTTACCAGTGAGGTTGGGCAAGGGAAAATTGCTTTGATGGGCGAGCTGCTGGTTCCACCACTGCTGGGTGGGTTGATCCTTTTCTCCTTCTGGCGCCGGTTACAGAACCAAACGCGGATCACCTCCTTCTCCATGTTTAGCTGGTCAGCTATCATGGTGATCTCATCCGAGGTAGGCTTTTGGTTCTGAGAAAAGGAAACGGTACTTGAAAAGCTGTGAAACCACCTTCTGAAGTTTTATATTATAGCTGCTTCTTCGCTAGGCAGAAATCTGGATGGGCCATTTATATCCAGAATCTGGTCATAGCAGATACTTCTGCCCTCCATCTTCCTAGCTACAGGAACATTTCTACCAGTAGTAAGCTGTGTTCCTCAGAGACAGGTGATGAAGACTAGGCTCACATGCTTCTTTTTGAGAGAAGGGATCTGACTTGTGAGTTAATCTTTCAAGGAATTCTAGACCTTGATAAGGATATCTTTCTTTCAGCATCTCTCGAAAAAGAATAGGAGAGATTAACTATAGCAATAGCCAAATGAACCCCAAGTTGTCTAGACCTATAATGAAAGACAGGTAGATTGAATAGACTACTTACAGAGGCTATCTGCTCATAGAGCTGCACAAAGTGCCTAACAAGAGTAACATAAGGCCAGCTAAAAAACTCACATTATGTATGTTTAGACTGTCACCCCATTTATCCATCCTCAGAAAGGGTAATCTTTTTTTCTTCTTTTTGATGTGCAGAATATCAAGCTTAGATCTATGGCTCAGTATCTTGGAATGCGAAATCACAAAGTAGTCAGCGAACTGCAAGAACCAATGAGTTTTTTTGAGGGGTTTTGTGTGTGTTTGTTTTGTTGCTTTTTTTTTTTTTTTTTTAAGTGAAGTAGACCTTGATGTGTGCTTCTCAGCACAGCCTTCGTATTCACCTTGTTTAGTACAAGTACTTTCCTAAATAGCACAGTAATGGGTTCACTCTAATAGATATGATTGTTAAGCAAAGTTTCTTCATTTCTTTATAGGCTGAGCAGAGCAACAGGATCACTGACCTCCAGGAAACTCTTCTCTAAGGCCACACGTATGTTGGTCTCTATGCTGGTGCGTTTCTTCCTCCTACGGTTCAAGCCTTCGACCCCCAGCCCTGGAGAATTCAGGGCACTTGGGCTGGAGAGAGTCGAATCAGATGAAAGGTGTTCTGAAAAAGAAAGTAGGAGATTTTATTTGAATGCAGTGCAGTCTAATGCAGACGTTCTTCACCTGTGCAAGGTATGGTAAAACCCATTCTGTATCTATTCCAGATATATAGAGATTTCTGAAGATGACACTCATCAATCATGGTACTTGTAAATTACAACAAATACTTGAAATTTAAAGCTACAAGTAAGCCCAGAGGGTGCTCTCTGCTCCTGTATGATACTGCAGTACCCCTTTTACAATACCTATACAAAGTTTGTCTCCCTTATCTCATTCCACCCCACACTCTCATTCACTGCAAGTCACAGTTTAATGAAAAAAAGGCAATAACTGATATCCATAAGCCACAGCTGTATGTCACAGGCGATTATGAAAAAATCTGAGCAGCCTGAAACTTCTTTTACCCACTCTGCAATACACTAAAGGAAGTTCATAGCCAGCCTCACGGTGTTCAACCTGTTCTCTCTGGAGATCTTAGTAGATACTCAGTGCTGTGCAGTTCTGAACAGCCTACATAGATAGCAGCTCCCCACCCTTAGCTTCACTAGGTCTCCAGCTGTCAACCACTAATCCTGTCTTTTTGGCTCCACAAAAGAGCAAAGAGAACACACTTGACCCCACTTTGTAGCAGAAAGTTCAAAATAACCAACAAGCAGGTTCCAGCAGGAAATTTAAGCAAAATTATTAATTATGGATGGAAATCCCTCACTACACTGGAGTTTGTGGGTGATAAGTAGGTGTCAAAGTTCACAATGCTTAAGATCATTCTGGTAGGCTCAAATAGGCAAGTACATTCAATACATTATATTCCAGATTTTTATTTTTTTTAGTAATGGCACCCATAAATGTGCTGAAACCCCTCTTCATCCTGAAAACCCCCCAGAACGAGCTGAGTTCTATAACTATATATTCTCCAACAGTCTAATGGAATGGAACAGAAGGTATCATTGGTATGCTTCTCATACCTGGTTTTATCTAAAAGTAGCCTTTAAAGTCATCTGAATCTTTCTTCCAAAGGTTTTAATGAAACTGAATCAGAGCCAAAGACAATGATTGCCAACTTTCAGGCTGTGAAGGACCCTGACACTCTTTACAGTCCTTAACTTTACAGATCCAAGTATTTCTTCGGGTGAGCACGAAAAGCCAACTATGACATTCCTTGCAACACTGGACTCATCCAGTGTTGCTGGAAGGTTTGGGGACCACTGGCCTATGGACTAGAGAACTCAGTGTGAAGATCTTCATGTTTTCTATCATAGATCTAGATTACCTAAAGATAACCCTTTTCAGCACAACAGAATGGCACTTCCTTGTTTCAATGCAGGACAGATTTTCTACACTGCATTCAATTGCTTTCAAAATTTCAGAGAATGCTGTAGGCACCAGCATAAAGCTCTCTTCATTTTGGTAAAAATAGGAAGGCACACACCATCACTGCCATCTGTTTAGCAGATCCATCAGTTTTATACTATGTACAGTTGTATACTTGCAAGAGAAAAAAAATGGCTGACAGCACTCTTAAACACTTTCTATCTTAACACCTAGCACCACCATCCAAGTTCCTCTTGCTGGTGGAAAAAATAGAAAACAAAAACTTTGTATCGTGAATAACTTATATCCCAGGAAAAAATAATTCTGGAAGGAAAAAGCAAAACCTAACCCACAGAAAACTCTTCCTATGGCAAGAAAGAGAATCTTTATATGGACCCTTGGAGAGCAAAGAAAAGAATGCACGCAGGGGTGTGGGAGAAGATGAATGCAATAAGCTCTGCCTACTGAAATAACAAAACCATGCAACCCTCTCTCTGCTACACATCTGAAAAAGAAAGCTAGAAGAGGATTAGAAGTTATATGCATTAACATACATGAAGGAGGAAAACCATGACATATTATACCTCACCCCATGCAATTATTCAACTGGCTGCATACTGGAATGACTTTGGATACATATAGGCACATGAGAATGGAGGTATGGACCCTCTGCCTACACCATGGACAGTTACAAAGATTTGTGGCTTCATAAAACCATAAGGGCACAAACGAAGCAGTTTTTCAGAATCCTACTGATTTTGATAGGCTGGTGAAGAAATACACAGACTCATTCACCTGCATCATTGAGCCACTTTTCCAGAAGTGGCTTTAACTTGCACATGTTCTTAAAGCTGAGGTTCAAGGCTTCAAAGCGAGAGATGGTAGTTTGGCTGAAGTCATTTCCATAGAGTTTGCCCATAGCGAGCCCAACATCACCCTGGACAAAGAAAGAGAAAAAAGGGATTCACTGACATAGGCACTTCCAAAGCAAGGAATCCTGTCACATTTTTATGTTACCCACTGGTGTGGGGGATTTCAGTTTCACAGAAACTTGCTTGGCATTACCAAGATTCATGATAAAGCAAATAATAATGAAAAAATGTCAAACCTCAGTCAGTTTAACCATGTAACTCTTTCCTGGAAATCCCTGATGCTTTGTCTTCTTAGCATTATCACTGAGCAGAACTTTCCACTGAATATTAACTTTTAATTTTTTTCGTAGTTCTTTAAAGTTAGTAAAGCCCAAGCTCTCCTTAGGAGCAGATTCAAGAATCTGCATATTTCATACCAAAGAAGAAAGGTTCAAATAAGCAGAAATGCAGTGAATTCATGTTCTCATATTAGTAGAAAACACTCTTGAAAAGATGTCTGCAAACATATATCACATTTAAATAGAGACAAAATCATTCTTATCTGAACTTTTAGTAACTTAGGAGGTTCAAACCAAACTTCACCCCACAGATACGTATTTCAAAGAGGACAAGAAGTTGAATTATTTCAAATAATGATTAACTGCAGTCTTCACTACCATTATGCATCTGCCAAAAAGCTATCCAGGAGATTTACAGACAGATGATCACCTCTTTACATCTGTTACTGCTTTTCAAAACTCAGTTTTAGCTAGCTATTAGACATTCTGCTTATCCTTTAATACACACACACACACACACACGTCTCCCTATGTAGTTTACACTTGGAAAGTCTTGTTTAAAAAAAAAGAAAAATCAATCTTGATTGTGGCTATTAAAAACTCCCTAATATTTTCTTGTTTTGTTTTAAAGCTGGAAGGTCCTGCCCTTTGAAAAAAATCTACTTATTTTCTGAAGTATGCTATTTGGTTTAAAGTAGTTTAACTTAGATTTTTATTTTTTAACACAAAAAAAAGTACAAAAAGTCTACAAGAAGAGATTGAAAAGCTTGAGCACAGTTAGTGGAGTTTAATTGCAAGTGGGTTAGTTGGATTGTGCGCAAAGCCTGCTTTCTCTCCTTTTAGGTCAGATCCACAGCCACAGATTGATACAAGTGTACTAATAGCATGCAGCGTGGCCACATACAAGCGAGGAAGAAAACAACCTTTGGTAAGCTTAGTAAACTGTGCAGGTTGTGTAAAGAAAACAATTTCCTTCCTAGAAGAAGACCAGAACAATGGGTTTGTATGTCCTTCAATCACAGGAAACATGTGGGATCTCAAATTTATACCTCTACCCATATGCCAGGATTCTGTGCATTTTAAAATTCAGAAATCATTCCAAGAGAAGTAATATGGATGCTCTACTGGGCTTATGAAGAAGAAAACCTGGCTAGGTAAACCTTTTTAGAGATAAGTTGATTTACGTCTTGGCAGGAAAGAGTTATGAAATTTGCTCCAGTCCCCCAACTAAATTTAATTCTGATATTTATGTTGTTCTTACTAACATTTGCCATCTGATTTAAAATGAATAGTTAACCATTTCTTTGTCAATAGTTTTCAATGCCAAAAGGTGGCAGTATTTCAGCTGTATGCAAAGGAATTTATATATTGGGATGGGCCACTGAGAGGATGGATGGAACAGAGGATAAAGCACTGTATACACATCTGATCTACTCTGTAGGTTGAATGAAGCTCCAGTACTGAACAAAAACTAACTATAAGACACATCATTATTGTGTGTACTGGTCTGTTACGAAGCTCAGATGAACTAGCAGAGGTAATACCTTTTACAGCATAAAAATAACATCGTCTAAAATGTCTGCTCACATAGCTTGAATCTGTACCAACCAATTAGTCACATATCTGCGATAATGCTAAGATGCAGTATGCTTATCGTGTCTCTGTATGTCAAACATGGAGATATTTTTAAGGAAAATTAAACAAAAGGATTTAAATCCATCACCAACTTTTCAGGGTGGGAGAAGAGACAGAACTGCTGAAATTCAAAACCTGCTATATTGGTAACAAGACAGAATGTAGTGAATTATTAGTTTACAACGCAAACTAAATCTAACAATTATTTTTGAAAGGCAGGGATGGAGTGAGTCTGAAAAAGCTTACAGTACCACTGGAAAAAAATTTCTTTTATCCTTTGGAAGGCGGTCTATGTATCCAACTATAAGAAACCAGAGTAACAGCGGTCTCTAATTATCATCCAATTATACAATTAGGTAGAAGTTATTAGAACTGCCTAATTATACACATACAAACTCACGAGTAGGATAAGAATGATCAAATGCAATTTTATCACTTTCTCAAGATTCCCCTGTTTTAAACTCAAAAGCAAATACCGAAGTGTAAGCCTGAACAGTTGTGTTCATTTTTCCTCACCATGAAAATTCACAACAGGGTCAATAAAGAAGGGTTAACCTGTAACTTAAAAAGTCTAGTTGAGCCTTTATAATCATCTCACAGCAGGGTAGATTAAACATAATAACTAAAGAGCTACATGAACCTCCTCAGTCAGGCTATAGGGAAGCTATTGTATTTTCCTCTATTCTGTTCTGTTCTGGCTTTTGTGTATTTCTGTGCCTCCCTCTAGTGGAAAGAAGAGGGGGAAGGAGGCACACATGCCAGCAAAATGCACTTCATTTTACTAAGAACATTCTGTTCTTGAGTTATAATTAAGATGCTGCCAGGAACTTTCATTATGAACCCTGATTTTTCAAACATTTAGGCCTTTGCCAGAAAAATAAATCTGACTGCAGCACATACTTTCAAGCTAGAGTAGATTTACTTATTCCAAGGGGGGAACAAATCACATATGTTGGATTGACTCCTCTGAGCTCAGACTTTTAAATATCTACTTTGATTTTTGCATGCTATTTCTTCCAGCAAAAACACGCCTATGTGTATCACAGACTCTTGACAAAATAAATTGTTTAAGTGGACACATATTTTAATTTTGTGGGGAAAAAAATAATTTTTATATTAATAAGAAATTACTCTTGGATCCAAGCAGCATTTCCCTTCAACAGAATAACGGAATATCTAAATGCACTTTTAATTGTACTCTTCATTTAACCATTTTCACTATGTTCAAGATTACTCTTCTTCTACTCTATGGGTATTTCTGAGCTTTTAAGCAAACCAAAACAAATCCCAACTCCAGTTCACCTCTTTAAGGAGAGAACTTCAAAGGTGACAGTCCTTTCAGGTTTTGTTTAGGAACCTTAGCAAAAGCATTAAATACAGAAATCATTGATGTTTAATAAGAAAATACGCTTGAGAGATAAAACCCCTTTGACATCCAAAGGAACTCCACAGTTGTGATACACTTTTTAAACATATGGAGCAGTTAATTGTGCTGTATGATTTTTGGAACTTTGTACTTCTGAAGGCGGCTTTAAAGTGCTTTGTCCCATTCATTTTACATCCTACAGAATGAATAGTGCACATGCAACGACATCTGGAGCTGGTAAATGCACGTACCTGCTGGGAAAACGGCTATGCTTTAAAACCAACAGGGAAGTAAGATGGATGTATGGCTTTTTCTGTTATTTCTTAGAAATCCCCTACATAAAGGCCAGAGCATAACCCTATTTAAGAAGGTTCTCCTAGGAAAAAGTGGAATTGTAGTCTCCCTCCAGACTTGAAAGATGAGACCTCAGATTCCACACTGGCAGGCACTAAGGTACACAGTCTCACCTGAGTGAATCCAAGTTTGATCCGTCTTTGTTTGAAAGTCTTGGCAAACTGCTCAAGCTCCTCAAGGTCACTGGGCTCCTCCAAGCTGGGAGTGTCAATTCGCTTTGGTGTTGACTGGCTCTGTGGAAGTGGCTGAATGGGGGTCGCTGCTATTGTGCGTGTTGGGGTTGCTGGCTATTAAGATAGAGAGCAAGGAAAAGATGAAAATCAGACTTAAAAGCATAATCAGCAAAAATTGAATTCAAAAAAGGTATGTGAGGTTTCTGTGAGAAAGATCAATGAATTTGACATTTCCAGCAATCTGAAAGTTCCTCCAATTTATTTACATTCCTCTCAAGAACGAGCAATAACAATCCAGAAAACTGTATTAGTATGACAGCCTTTTAAAGGCTCTGTCAGAACCAATTAAAGAAAAGAGATGTTCAATGCAGCAGATAACCAACAACTTTCGCTTGCTACAGAACCTGCTCAACGAAAGGCTGAACACTTTCACTTGATATAGTTCTATCATTTATAGTCAGCTTGGCATTCATCCCCGTTTAATCATTTTAAAATTGAATTTACAGCTTGTGCGAGGTGGCAGACTGTCATCAGCCCAAAAGATTCTACTCTCCTATTTAATCTTAGAACAGTGAGCACACACAGGTGCAGCAAACACGGCAAGTTTCCTCTAATGCCATCTCTTGTGACTGACTCAACTCTTTCAGTTAGAAAAAATCAGATCTACCTCTAACCCTTCTGTTGATACTTGCAACAGTAAGAATGAATGTACTGGTGATATGAGAAATTAAGCAAAGGCAACCTGAAGAAAATAATTTATTTCAGGTCACATTTTTCTTCTATATAAAAGGCTAATTTTCCAGGAAGTCCACACGAGGTTCACTATTCTTGAACTTTGGCTTACTAGGGCATTTTCTATGCTGTAATAATAAGAATCTGCAAAAAACTGAGCCTCACGGAAAATATTCACAGGTGAACAAAATATATTAAGATGTGATATTGCACAGTTCAGGCTTTATGTGCAACAGGAACACTGGAAGCGTGTTTTGAGTGCATAACCTAACCTTCTTACATGCCATAGATGAACTGAGATGTAGAGACAAATTGTTTACTCTAATTAAATTCTATTCAGTTCAGCTGAGGCTCTGAAGTAAGGGTGACTTCATGCTTTTCTGTCCTATGCCCCATTCTGAAACTACAGACTCCTCCAGGGCAAATAAGAACAGCCTCAAGTCTATGCAACACTACAGTATTACACAAAGTCTATGCAAAGGTCCAGAAATTGCTGTTCTAAAAGAAACAGCCTACATATAGCTGAGTCTTTATGTAGCTCCTTATGTTGTTTTTCTCCTGGGTTAGTGCAGTATTTTGCAGTGCACAGCAGATGGTAGAGGGAGGTCAAGATCCATAATTCCATTACTTGAGAAATAATGTGATCATATATGATCTTTCCAGGATTACAGATATATGTGTCACACCAGAAAGGTTTTAGGGTTTTTTAATTTACATTAAACATAGTGGGCAATTACTTGTAATATGTCTTTACTGACTTCACCCTGTTTATTTAATTTATTTTCTCTTTGTAGTTTTGATACATTTTTTTTTAATCCAAGTATAACCTTTAGTAGGGAGTCATGCTGCTAACTGAGGTATGAACTACAGAGGTGAGACAAATTCTGTTTTCCACATGGTGCATGATAAATACTACAGGTAGTATAATAGAAAATGTAGTTTTCTAAGACTCTGATAGACTCAGAAATCTTACTACAGACTAAAAAATTCTTGTATGTAACCAAGTTGGCAGGAAGATACCATATGATACTACTTGTTATTTGAGAAACAGCATGCAGGTACGTAACTAAACTGCACAGGGAAACCCAGCGTGTAGCAAAACTAAATTTGCAGGCACATGCAACCATAAAATTGCTTTTCTTTACAGTCTGAAAGCTCAAAGGGCTTTAATATTTTAACATATATCTCACAGAATATTTTAATGCCCTTCTAACAATCTTTTCACTTTCACAGAGGATAACTAATAAGATTGCCAATGACTTAGCATTAATAGCAAAAGAACTAGGCTACAATAGATTACCACTGCGATCTTTAGAAAAAGATACTTATCAGTAATCCTCTTTTTGAGCTTTTTAGGTAGCCCACACCTTGGTCCTCTGAATTTCACAAATTTGTAGATTGTCCAAGAAAGTCTTAAATAAAAAAATCAAATGATGCTCTAGTGCCATTAACTCAAGATAGCAGTCATGGTAATTTTCAGCTAAAAATAAAAATGTAGAATATCAAATGCATGAAAAGAGGCACATATTAGGGTAGAAATTACAAGACTGAAGTTACTGATACTTCAGCTCTACACTGAATCTATCTAGAAAGACAAACTCACTATTACAGCTACAATATCTACTCCAGTAACTAATACAAAGGGCCCACTCGCTTGCAGTAGTTTAAATTCTCTCAAAGCAACTCATGAACTGTAGAAATAAGACTGACCTGCGAGGCAAGGGTGATGCTTGGCTGAGACTGCAGGAGGTTGGCTTGGCTTTGCTGAGGTAGTTGCGTTAAGAGATTCTGCGCTTGCAGGAGACCTGGAAAGAGAAACAGGCGGGTTTAGTTTGCCATTTTAAAAGCCTAAAACATTAAATGAGGTTAAATACGGTTCTTGCCAAATAACAAAGGTTACAAAAAGTTTGAGATGCAAGCCTTCGTCTCATCCCTGCATAAATATCTTCAGACTTTGGACTTTTCAGTCCAAAATCCCCTTGTGTCTTCCTGAAGTATACGTGGTGATGGAAGGGTAAAAGGGAGAAGTCTTTTCTAGTCACTTCTGCAGAAAGAGTTTGTAATGATCTAGGTTATCCTAGTTCTGTGTGCAGGAACCATACATTGTGCCCAACTGAATACTAATCAAAACCACAAATCTGGCTCCTTGATCAGCCTTCTTCCTCTCTGTATCACCCCATGCCAGCTGCCTAACAAGAAGGCAACCTTCTCTGGCAAACTTAAGCAGACCACTCTAGAAGACAAAACAAGCCTGGATAACCTTCTCCTGCCTGAAGTACCAAAGGAATCTTTTGGAAAAGTAATCAGAACTTAAAGCTTAGACAAGATACTGAAAACTGCTTAAATTGCACAAATAAAATAAACATTACACTGAATATATGCAAACCCCTGATATGATGAAAAGATAAAACTAAAGAACAGTTGGGACTGATGCAACCAATATACGCAACATGCTGTCATTCTAAAAATAAATTATCTTACAGTTCACTATTTGTATGGTTTACTAAACATCTCTGGAAATTGAGATACATGCTTGCACCTATATATACATTGTAGCTAGAAACTATCTTGAATTTTTTTTTTCCATTTCTAATACTAAAATTTATGTATTTTTAAAGGGTAAGAATCTCGACAAAAATATACCTACATTTAGTCAACCCCCTTGATTTTACTGTGAAAAACATTACTGCTATTCTTTAGGCAACTCCTGGTTACAACTATCAATTTCCTTTATAATAATTTAAGAACTTGATTAATTAGACCTACACTTAACAGGTATCTTCAACATACCAAGTTCCTAAAACTAGGGGGGAACAATGCCATGACAATAAATGGACACTATGGCTGCTCAGAGGACAGAACAACAAGTACTACTTAAATTGTGTAATTTGAGTTTGACATGGTCTGTTCTGGCTCATCAGCTGGCCAATCAATCAGAGCACACCACTCAAGACCAGTTACCTTTTAGCAGAATACAGGTAGGGGATACAGGAATTTAGGACTTGATAAATACTGAGAAACTGGATGTTTTATGTGAGGTTAAGGCCATAGGAGACATGAAAAGAAGGACTACCATGGGTAGGAAGGAGAAGATGTATCCTCAGCGAGGGACACACAACTACACAATTGTCTTCTGACAGTGATAGTACTGTTACTTTTATTGTTGTTGTTACGTGTTGAATATGTATTTTAAATAGAATGTGTTGCTATGACCTACATAATAAAGCCAGCTCTCTTATGCAACATAATAGCACAGCATAGACAACTATGTAAATTTGCTTTGCTCCTCATATTCAATGTGTTCCAGCTGTGTTTTTGAGAAGCCAGTGAGGGAATGGATCAGCTTAAGGAACTTCCAAGACAGCTACCTTACTACTGTTACACAGTGCTTTTTACAATGCAAATATTTGTTCACTCAAAAGATGATTTTGGCTGCCCAAACTAACTGCCAAGTTAATTAGTCAACAGTCACCTCTAAGTGAAGAAGTTTTCACCTTCATTTATTTAGTGACAGTGAATTTTAACTGACAACTTGAAGTAGAAAGGGACAAGCCATCACACTGACATTAGAGTGGCTGAACAGCAATGAAACAAAAAATAGGCAGCTGACAATGACCACATTTGACCTCTAGTCCACTGGTAACACCATCTATCACAAGTTACTGACTCATCTTATGACTGTAATCAGAGTAATTAGGACTGTCCTTTTGTAATTTCTTTGTCCTCAAAGAAATCCCAGAGGATGTTTTTCTGGGAACACTTTCGCTGAAGAGAACAAGATGACTACACTCTTCCTCATTTTATTCTCACTCATATTTCTGAAGTAATTATCACTGAAGGACAGTATTAAATATTCTGGACATGTCTAATCGACTTGGTTTTCACATCATTCCATCCTATTTAAGAAATACTGATACAAGGCATCTCAGGCAGAAAATGGAGAAAGAATAAGTTAGTTCAACCTGCAGCTGACAGAAGTAATGATCAGGAGGTGGGGAAAGCTGCTGAACGGTTTTGGCAAATTATGCACCTCTTCCACTGACAGTGTCTTTCAGACAGTCGCTGTGAACGTGCTTGGGACTCTGGTTGGCTTCCATGGGTGGGCAGTTGCAGTTTTGCTCTTTTCAGACATGACTTGAACTAGACTAAGATTCACCTCTGGGTTTTTTTTGTGGTTTTTTTTTTTTTTTTCTGAGGATACATTACTGGCCTACACTTTGGTCCAAGGTAACTTCAGTGACTTAACTTACAGAGTACATAGCACAGCCTTTTACATACAGTGCAAGTCCAAAACTGCACCTTTTAGGCAACTGCTGAGATACACTTTGCTGTTTCCTTAGGGACTCCTACTGGAATCACTACAGTTTAACAACTTTGTTACCAGTAAGGCTGATGGGATCAAATATAATCTCAGCAGGTTTATGGACAATACCAAATATGGAAAGGTTGGTCAACAGGCCAGAAGTCAGGGTCCAGACAGGCTGAACAAATGGAACCTCATGAAGATCAATACAAGAAAAGCATTCTGCATGGGGGCCAGAAGAACCCTGTGCAGCAGTACAGGGTGGGCACAGGCTGGCTAGAAAGAAATTTTTCAGAAAAAAGACCTAGGCCTCCTGGAGGACAGTAAGATGAACAAGAGCCAGCAGTGTGCCCTTACCATAAAGGCAGCCAACAACGCCCTGGGCTGTATTTGCAAGAGTGCAGCCAGCAGGTCAAGGGCTGTGATTCTTCCCTTCCATTTAGCACTTGTAAGACCACATCTGGAGCAGTGTTCAGCCTTGGGTTTCCCAGTACGAGACACAATGACATCCTGGATTTTGTCCATTCAAGGCCTATCAGGGTGGCTAACAGGCTGGAACACCCATACAAGGAACAGGTAAGTGAGTTGGTTTGTTCAGCTTCATAAGAAGGCTATGGTGAGACACTATTGCTGTCTTCAAAGACAGAAATGGACCCTTCTTGCGGATGCACAGTAATGAGATGCAACAGATATAAGTTGGAACATGGAAAACTCCCAATTAGATATAAGGAAACTTACTTTCTTTTGGTTTGTTTTTTTTTTTTACCATGAGAGTGGGTCAGGTAATTGAAGAGGTTGCAGAATCACCATCCCTGCAGACGTTCAAAGTCAACTAGCTGAGGTGCTGAGCACTCTGCTGTAATTGGACCTGCTCTGAGCAAAACTACATGACCTCTAGAGTTCCCTTCCAACCTACATGATTTTTTGAATCTGTAAAAACTAATATTGTACATGTATACTTAATTTTACAGAGGTAGTATTTCTAACCCTCTGGTTTGCGTTCTAAGAGACCAGTGGTATTATTACATTCAATATGGCATACCAGTCACTTATGTGATGCTCCAAAATAATGACTGCATGGAGGTAGATAAGGATTTATTCAAAAGTATGATGCCTTAGAGGTATTATTTTTACTTTATTTTAATACTTAAAGTAAATACATCTACCATCATTCAGTACTTTTCCTGTAATGTCTACAAGTAGCATGAATAATGGCCCAAGCCAAAAAACTCTTCCTGCCAGCCAACAGTCCTCAAGGACTGATCTGGGGTCCAGTTCTTATGGTTTAAAATTAAGTAAAAGATAAAACAAATATTCAAGTGCAGACTTTTTCAGCGTAGTTTTTAAAAAGTTGGCCCAGAAGCATAATATATCCCTAACTGATCTCCCAAAAGAGTGAATGTTTTCATCTAAGAAGAACTTAACTGCTTTTTCTCTCCCAAAGCTGTTCATCTTCTCACAGACATATACTGGAAGTTAGCTTGCAGGACAAAGCCATTACAATGTCATATTTTGATTAACTGGAAACAACAGCAAGGGAAGAAGGAAGGGTGTTATACCACATATTACATACACTGCCATTTGATCAACTCTGTTGATCACTGTTGATACAGAGAAACTTCTGGGCACTTTGGTGTACCTCATTTTATCAAATTCAGATCTTCCAAAATGGGGACTTGTAGTTGGAATTATACTGGGATCCAGCACAGAAGTACTAACCTATGCATTCCTACACATCTGTTCCACTGAGATGTTGAGTGGCTGAATGCTGCTGCACCTTTTGTAGCATCCAGGTACCCTTTAAGATCAAATCAAGAACATGACGGAAATGTGCTGAAGTTGGTGAACTGCAGTTTTGAAGAGTACAGATTCAGTGATCCATGCAAAGGTGCTGCCACACTACTTCAATGAAAGTCAACGTTTTTATCCATTGATGCTGTTCAGATGGTTAGAAGCAAAGACTTGATTTCAAAGAGGACAGTAGATATTAAGCATTTCATTCATATCTTGGTAATGAGTATTTGCAGCACAGGAAAAAAAAAACCTCATCATTTAAATCACTTCTTCCAAATTCTTCATTCCAATTCAAGCTCTCCCCTCTATATTTTCTTCAACTGTCGTGTCAGCAATGTCTCTTGACAATGAAGAGCTAGGTCTCCTCATCCGCATATTGAGGGGACCAAAGCACTTCTACCTGGTTCACACAGCGTATTATTAACAAAATGAGGAGTCGTCTTGTAAGGGCAGTGCAGGTGCACAATCTCAGATGCAACAAACACTTATCCATTACAAATTTGATACATCTGAGGAGAAACATGGGCAGCTTCAAGCATCTCCATCCTCACAATGAGTGAGGGAGCTGCACTCTAATTTATGGTACCAAAGACCAGCAGGGTAGGTGCCAATGTTTAACATTCATTGTCCCATTTTAAAATTGTATTGTTTTGCGGTTTTTTTTAATGATGACAAGTGAAGTCTCAAAGTCTGCAGGATAAGTACACAAGAAGAGAACAGGACTGGATTTAGCCTGATACCATCATCCCAAGTATTTTTACAATACAAATGAAATCATAAACAAGGTCTTTAAAAATGAGCAGCAATAACTTGAGAATAGGTAGGCCCAGTTTCAATGTTTAAAGCTAATTGGTAGCTTGTCTTCCACATTTGCCTTTCTGGATAATTTATTTATAATGACTGTTTCTAAGCCTTGTTGACAATGATGCAGTCTTTTCTCAGATGTTATCAACTTCTGTTTGCAAGATTAATTTAAATGAAATGCAGCCCCATTTCCCATCTCTGTTCAGATTTTTACCAATACGATTTTTATTGTCAGTATCTTCCAAGTAGAAAGGCAAATGGTCATCTGATGAAGTTAGTATTTCTAAGAAGCAGCTATAATTGCAGTAAAGGATGTTGAATTGATTATTCTAGAAACAGATCTATTAGATATGAGAACAGATACAAGAGGTATAAAGACTGTACGAGGTGTTACATTCCTGCATGTGACTAACAATAATATGGGGTAAATAATTGTTTTGAATTAGTAATTGTTCCAAATTTGTACTTCTATTCAATCTTCTGCATATCTGCTGAGGCTTGAAACAATTCCTTCAGTTACAATGTTATCCATCACAAGCCATGAAAAACAGGAACTTTACAATTTGTTTCACGCAAGCTGCTGAATAACCAGAAATCATGTGGAAAAGGAAGATGACTACATTAGACATATGGCAGTGGATTTATGGGGAGAATTTCACATCTGCTGCTGTGATCTATAATGTGTGTTGAAGAAAGGTAGCAGAATAACATCCTGATTGTTGATTAATATTTTAGGTATTGAATTTTCTAAAATTTTTTAGAAGTTGAACCTAAGCCATGACGTTCAACCCCTTCCAAGAATCTAAATATGATTGCTGATCATTGCATTACTCTGCATCCCATCACCTCTTCAAGTAAAAGAAGCTTTTCTCTAACAAATGTTTACATGTCTTCTACAATCTTGCTTATAGATACTATTCTTCACTTATTTCCCTCAAAACTATTCTCTTGTACTAAAACCAATGTTTTTCATTTACATGACTACATGTACAAAATACATAGTCTGTAAAGCAACAGATTTCTTCCAGAATAATTTATAAATAAATCTGAATTTACATTTTAGTTATTAAATGCATACACATATCTACAAAGCTGCATGCAGTACCAATGAGGCATTCAAAAAAAATCTGAATGCTGCTGGTTTTAAGGAAAGCTCTATGCTAGTTTCTTCAGAATATTTATTATTTTATGAAGTTGACTAAGTGAGTAATAGGACAAGAACAACACGGAAAAGTCAGCTGCAACAGCAAATAACAAAATAAAAATACACACTTTCTCAATCCCTCTCATAAATAATAATATAATGTTTGAGATATCCTAACAATAACCATTAAATACTGCAAAAAAGGCGTACCAAAAAGTGAGATAAGGGGTATTATGACATACATGTTGCTTTATCATTGAGTGCTCATGAAGAAAATTAGATCCATTCAAGCATTTAAGTTTGGAAGGTTGTCACACACTAATGGCCTATGGTTAGAATACAGAATATAAATCATCCTACATTTTTGAGCTATTCAGTTGTCCAGGCTGCACATTACCAGTAAAACATGGGTGTTTCTATACACACTGCGTCACTTATGACGGCAATATGCAGGTCTTAAATTGTAGTGAAGAAATAATTTTCAGAGATGATCCCTGGAGAAGGTAATATGAAAACCTCTTCTGGCAGTTATTCTACTTCAGATTTTAAATAAACACAAAGCCTTCCTTTCTTTCTATAATGCAAACAATTCATTTTGAGAGATGGATATAATTTTCTTCTGATAGTTTCCTGTTTTGTAAAGCATCTTCAGAGATATTTTAGAAAACCAGCAGAAGTTAGTTGAAAAATGTAAGCAGACATTAATACTAGAGTTTTTCAAAACAATGCTTTTGTGCTTTCCGTTTCCTTAAAATAATATATTTATAAAAAAAAAAAAAAAAGAAAAAAAAAAAGAGGTCTATTTTAAAGAATCCTTGATGTAAATTTTGGTAAAGTTCAATTTCTTTTAGAAGAATAAGTTAAGCTTATAAGTTCTGCTTCATTTTAAGAAACTGCTAGTACATCACTATATGCCTCCATAAATAGTCTTTTAGCCATTTTCTACCAAAGCTCTTCTAAATCAAGTCCTATTAAAAGAAAGTTAATTTTGACTAACCTTTTATTCAAATGTGAGAGCACTCAGACAGCGAGAGAGAGCTACAGCATAATGGAAAGCCAGTTCTACCCAAGTCATAGTATATAAGAAGGAATGACACATGAAAAAAATTGAAAGGAACAGAAGAAAATGAGGTGCAAAAAGCTTGCTTTATATGATAGCCAGGCTCTGGAGGACTCTTCAAGCATAACAGGATTTGCCTTCTGAGCAAGAATCTTTGGATTAGCAGACCTGAACAACTAAGTAGAGTTCATATAGAAGAGAAAGGGGGGAAAAAAAGACCATTGGAGTGTATCAGTGTAAGAAGCCATGGCCAAAAGCAGTTTTCTGTGGGCATCAACAAACAGGGTGCAATCAGTCCTGTGATGTACTGCAACCTGAATGCATTAGTTCTTAGAGCAAAGTTCCTGTATATCATCCTAACTGGTCTGGCACACTGCTACCTACCACTGCTTTGGTTTGCCTTTAGCATGTAAGTCATACCCAGCATACCATCAAAATATTATTTCCAAGAGTTGTTATACAAAATAAAGCATTTGTAATTATTATTTCAGTTTATGATAAAATTCTCTTTAGGCTTATGGACTTTTCCAGTCTCCCACAAGGACTGTCAATTTTGTAATCTTTTTCCAGTCTTAGAATTTTGTAGCCCTTTTAGCACTGACATAATCCAGACAGCCCACACACCCTCTAGGCCTCCACCTCCTAGGATTCTGCCTATGAGTTCTGGAGAGTTGTCTTCTCCAAGTTGCCTTCTCAGTAGGCTTCCTTCTTGAGAGCCTGACCCAGAAATTCAGATGCTGCAGTATTTCCCAAGAGGCCTTGTTGTTAACAAATGTTCCCATGACATCTCTTGAGATGTGAACTGCACGAACTTTGACATGGCTGAAGTCTAACACTCAGAAAGGGGACAATCTGTTAGAGTCTAATTGCAATACTATTATTTCTCCCAGGGAATATCAAAAGTTAGTGAAGGTGTATGAACCACTTCAATTTTACCTTCTCCTCTAAAAAGCTATGTCTGATTTTTTTTTTTTTTTTTTTTTCCTAGCAAGGAGCACTTACCCTGCTGCCCCTGCGGTGTTTGTGAGATGATGAACTGTGCTGGCTGCAAGTTGGTTGTTGGATGCACCAACACAAACTGTTGCAGGTTGAGATTCTGCTGCTGAAGCTGCTGCAAGTGCTGCAAATCCTTAAGGAAACAGGAGAAGAAGGAAAAAAAAAAAAAAAAAAAAAAAAAGAGACAAAAATAAAAGGAAAAAAGGGGGGGAAAAAAAAAGGGAGAGAAAAGAAAGAGCTGTGTGTTAGACATTTAAGTCAGCCATGACTCCCAATTTAACTAAATTTCCTATCAAACAGTTACATTCTAACATTTAGAGATAAAAGCGGATGTCAAACACAACAGTCCTGCTACTGAATATCCTTTAGGCTGGCAATGTGAATTTCACTGTCCTTCATAAAATCAAACAAAAATTGTTTATCGAATAACCTAGCAAAATACCTCCAGAATTGTTCTGCTTTAAAAAAAAAAAAATAAAATAAAATCAATCTCCCTCCTCCCCAAATGTAGAAGTTTTCAAATACTTTAGACTTATCAGCACCTGGAATTCTCAGAGTTATGTTTTGAGGATGCAACTCTTACAAAATTCACTGTTGACAAATCAAGCTTATGAGCTGGGAGCTATTTTTGTTTATAACACCACCAATCTGCATTTACCATTCTAATCAGTAACAGGAAAGCAAAAAATTACAGATTCTTAGTTTGTACTCTGTTTTTTCAGGTCAAATTTTGGGAAGTAGCTAACTCAAATAGTAAATAAATATATTTGATTAGTTCTGAAACAAATTACAATAAGCTTAATAGACATGGCTAGATTTAAAGGTTAAAAGGAATAACCCAAAACACTGCGCTATTGTAGAACTATTTTTATTTATTTAAACCATTCAGAACTATTAATTTTCTATAATTAAATGACTAGTCTCAACATAAATGTTAATCTCTGACAAACTGAATCATCAAGAAAAATGCTTCATATTGCTGCTCAGCTGTAGAATGAAAACAGAGAACCACTTAAAAATATACCCCCCCAAACTAGCCTTTTTCTTTACATCTTCTCCAAACAGGGTAACAAGTAACTGAAATTTGAAAATTGAAGCACAATGTGAAGCCAGCCAACATAACAGAGGTAATCTATGAAAACTATCTACACATATGTGTAGAATATTCCCATCTTTCTGAGAAGCTGTTTCAAAATACCTGTCAAGCAGGTGGATAAAAGCCTGAAATATTTCCCACACTTACAAGCTCCCATTAAACAAACCAAACTAACCAAACAAAAAACCTCCCAAAACTCTATTTCAGAGATGTTGCTCAGATACCAGGGTACCTGTTTGCAGACAGATACCCTCTTCTGGGTCCAACTGTGTCAGAAGACAGTAAAACTGCCAGTTCGCTCCTAAACAGTGCTCAGTCTGGCTGTTTGAATGGAGCTGCTCATTTTTATATACTTTCTAACATACTTCAGTTAAAGTGAGCCAGACTAACAAAGGCCTCCTTCTTAAGGCCACTAAAGTAGCCCCCACACGTTTTGACTGAGGCAGTCTGAGCACCTACACAAGCTGCTCAAGCCAGCAGGTGTGAAAGACCATTAATCGCCAGCAACAGAGATGGTGATGGAAAGTCAAGACAGACTGACAAGGACAACTTTTTATTTACACAATACAACTATTTGCAGCATATAGTTATGTGTCTATGACCTTACATTATTTTAAAACTGTTAAGCTAAGACTTAAAAGTTGCAACAAATCTCCTTCTAGGAAAGAGGGCTGGGGAGTGCCAGGGGGTGGAAAGGAAGACTAGGGAGTAGGAAAAAAAAAATACAGAGTCCATTGATTTATGAGACCATAGACATGCATTATAAGAAAACAACTACTTAACCTGCATCACAAAGACACTGGCCATCAATCACTTAGGCAACTTGGACATCTTAAGTCAAAAGCATGCAGTGTGATAATATGGGAGACAGACACCAGATGGATTGGCCAAGCAACGCTCTTTAAGAAATGGAAACTTCCATTTTATAAGAGAATGGTAAATTTTTAAAAAGTGTTCCCCAGTGCAACAGAGTGGTTTTAAAGTTGATAGTGTTGCTTGCTTTCAGAGGATTTGAGAAGTACTACAACCATTCCAATGAAATCAAGGCCAATTTCCTTCCTAAAAAAAAGAGAGATATAACTGCTCCAATTTTTCTCAGGAACGCCATGTTTCTTCTGACTTTTTATCATAAAGTTGCATTGCTACTAAAAAGTCTTACTTCTTGAGCCCAACATGATATGGACCTTCACTTATTTATTCACCGATTTTCAGTGCTGTACTGGTTACCTTTGCAGATTGAGCAGACCCTCGAGAACAGAGGGGCTCATACTGAATTGGATGCAGGGACTAGATGCAGAGGAAGAAACAGAAATAGGAGACTTGGGCAAGCTAAGGCTGTGAACACTGGGCGGAAGAAAAAGAAATTAAGAGAGGCTTAAGGATGAAAATAGAGGTACATAAGAGAAAAAGTAGAAACACAAAGGAAGAATTGGGAAGAAATTTTTGAAGGAAAAAGTACGGGCAGAAAAAAACAGACTGGGGACCTCCCCCACCAAAAGCAAACAAATGAACACCCCCAACCCCCAGATGACCAAGTATATCTCAGATGATTCAAAGCACCACCACAGGAGATGGAGTTACATACAAGAAAGAATACAAAGAAACTGTGGCAGTGTATTTGTAAGATCAAAGGAGGAGAGCTTTTTGTTTAAGACTATAGTATTCATAACACAGGGTACCCAGCTAAGACATGACAGCTCTTATCATCAGGCTCTTACACTTTAATATGAGAAAACCATTTTAAAATTGAGGCCTCAGGGATAACTGGTATAAGCAATCTTATTCTGTGCATCTGCCTTGGTAAATTGTATGCTGGCTGAGTCTTGTTTAAATACAGAAATATAATTCTGTAACGCAGAATGGAAACAATACCTCAAAGGCTAATCACTCTTAAATAGTCCTACCAGCCCCCCAAATGCATTTGAAGTCTGACTTTATTTCTACCTTGGGAAAGTTTTATTATTTAGTTAATTGTAGCATTACAATAAATCTCCCAATAGCAAGCATGTGAACAACCCTGACACTGTTTTCCTATACTGATCTTTTTTTTCTCAATGGTAAAATCTGTATACTAGCACAAGCACATAGAAATGGAAAGACTTTTGGGGAAATATGCATGTCTTCTGGTGCTGCCTAACAATTTAGAAAGATCAAAACAATCCAACTCTTACCTTGACAGAATAATCTGCCAAGTGCAATGTCTTGACATGAGGAAGTTCTTTCTTGTTTTGTTTTGGTTTTTTGAAATCATCTGAAGTACTAAATTCAATGTCATTATCTCTAGTTACAACTTCAGTACAAAATTAAGCACCTCTGTCATTCTGAAGTTTACATCATATAAACACTAATCATGGATCCTGAAAACAAGTAAAATTTACAAAGAACTCCAAAACTTGGTACAACTGTTTAGAGACAATTCAGCATCAGCCCAGCAGCAGCACTAACATCTTACCAGACTGCTGCAGCAGATACTTTACATTAGCTGCAGTGCACATTAAAGAAGTCATGCTTGTGCAATTAGTTAATTAAAATAAATATGGTAATCCCCCTGCTGCAGAGACCTGCCAGTTAATCAATTATTCAAAAATCATCAATTAAAACAAACATTCAGCTATTTGTGTAATCAGCTATATGTTTACAACAGTGATGCAAACAAAGCTGAGTACTGTTTATAAATTGTTGTCACGACGGATCAGAAAGCATGGTGTTATCCACCTACAAACCTAGATGGTACAAGTTTTCCATAAAGTATCTCAAATTATATCCAACACCTGCACAAATTATGCCCTGCACTTTCATCATAAGAAGCAGCTATCAAGATTCAACCAAGCTACATTTATGTATCTTATGTGATTTGAGCACAGAGGGCAACTGAGCACTATGCAGCCATTCACCTACTCCTTCCCCTCTCAGGAATGGGAAGGAGAAAACGAAGCAGAAATGGCTCAGGAATCCAGATAAGGACAGGGAGGAGTGGCTCACCCATGGTCACAGGCAACAGACAGACAGAAAACTTCACTAACTCAAATGCTAACAAGACAGCGCTTAGCAGACAAGGTGGGACAGTGAGAAGGTCATTACATCTAAAACCCCTCCCCAGCACCTCCCTTCTTCCCAGGCTCAGCTCTGCTCCCCATCTCTCCACCTCCTCCCCCAGGGGCACAAGGGGCAGGGGATGGAGGCTACAGTCAGCTCGCCGCTCCTTCCCTCTCAGGAGATGGATGAACGCCGCACATCGCTCCCCTGCTCCGCGGGGCTCCCCTCTCACTGCAGACAGCCCTCCAGGAACCTTCTCCGGAGTGACTCCTGCCCACGGGCCGCAGCCGTTCCCACGCTGCTCCGGCGTGGGTCACCCCCGCGTGTTGCAGCCCGCCCCAGCGCCGAATCACAACAGCGGGGGCCGCTTCTCCCCTCAGAGTCCCGGCCTCCTTTAAGTGCAGCTGCTTGTCCTGATGTGGGCTCCTCCACAGGCTTCAGGTCGGCCTTTACTCCATTGTGGACCCCCATGGGCGGCAGGGGGGGGCAGCCCTGACATCTCACCACAGGATACAGTGCTCTCTGCTCTGGTGCACCTCTCCCCTTCCTCCTCCTTCCTTCCACTAACCTGGGTGTTTGTCCTTCTCACAACTCCTCCTCACAAGACCCAACCCCCTCTCTGGTTACCCTTCTTAAATACGTTCTCACAGAGGCACAGCCACCAATGCTGATTGGCTTGGCTCTGGCCAGAGACGGGTCCAACTTGGAGCTGGGGCAGCTTTCAAGAAGCTTCTCACAGGGGCCACCACTGCAGCCCCCGCTACCAAAAACCTCACCACAGAAACCCAGCATAGTATCAAAATTATCTATCATAAAATAAATTAATTGTCAAACATTTAAGTAACTAGGAATGCCAGAAAACAATTGAAACTTTAATTTGTTCCCCTTGTGCTACAAATACAGATTATATGGTGGAAACTACACCATCACATGCTATTTCTCATAGAGCCTTTAGCTCATTTATGCACACAAACCAGACAATGCTCACTTCAGAAGCTCCTGTTTCACAGCCTGATCTTTTCAACTCTTCTCAAACACTTCTCTAAAGGTTTTGTAAGTTCTAGAGAAAACCCCAGAACTAAATTAATAACTGTAAATGCTTCACACCTTTTCATAGCTTCCCACTGAAGTGGAAGAGCAGGATTAGCAACATCTCACACAGGCAGAAAAATGCCTTCAAAAGCATCCTCTAATTTGGTGGCATATTTGACAAATGTGAAGACAGAAAGTAGAAGGTACAGATTTTATTAAAATGAAATTGTAAAGCTTTGCACTTCAGTAAAGCAGACCTTGCTATCTTAAGCTGCACACCTGGAAGACAAGAGGCACACACCTCTGGATCACTTACATTTAGGTTAAAAGACTCACATAATATCTGGCTGTACATTCAGTTAACCTTGTCCAGAAGTCTAAGAAGTTTCCACACTACTTATGCTAAATGTAGAGTCAGTGGCGCTGCATTCTCCACACTGAATAAAGCCAATCCTGGAAGATCCAGGAGGATCTCTGCCTCTCCTAGTGAGCAGAAATTCCTTGGCAAGCAGTTCTCCAGAAATAAGAATTAATGGGTCTTTAGCAGCAGACCATAAAACTGGACAGATTCTAACACCAGACTCATTCTGGCAAGTTCTTCTTTAGACACACAAGAGTGCCCATTCTTTGTCACCAAACTCTGAGCATTAAGCACCAAGCCAAAATAGCACACAAATGTGTCAATTCAAGCTGTAGCCTTGTAGACCATACAAATGTTTCTCACCAAGCACAAGGACCCCTAATCACTGGCTCCACTGTGTAGGTCTGATACAATCCAGGCCTTGCTAACAACTTCAACATTGAAGAGGAGACGAAAGAATGATAAGAGATGAGCATCCTTCCCAGTTGGCGCCATAGGCCAGATGGTTGCCCAAGAAGCATGAAGTCAGCAAAAATCTGTGGAAACTGGGGAAGAAGTAAAGGCGGCAGGAAGAGATCACGACCACAAACTCAATTCAAGACCAGAAAGACTTGCCCCAGCCCCACCTGTAAGGAGCATGCTTGCTAATTTGCACAGCAAGCGAGGCTAATACAAATATAACTAATCAACAGCAGATGGAATGGCAATTACGGACCAATGAGTGTACACTTAGATAGGTTTTTACTAATCATGTAATAGGATAAATAGGCTGTAGTTCCTTTGTGTTGCATGCTAGCTTTGTGGAATTATCACCTAGCATCCATCTCTGCTCAACTATGGAATAAACTGATATCTTGGCTCTGTGTGAAACTGGCTTTTCCATACTGGGTAATGAAGCCCGCTTGAGGGACAACAAAACTGCCTTTCCTCAGCTCTATCATTTTTCTGTTTGGATCTAACAATCAACCTTTGCGCTACGTAGATATCCCTTCCAATTCAAACAGATCTCGACAAGTGTAGTTTCTATAGGCATCTCTCCATACCCTTTTTTTCTCCTTTCTCAAGCTAACTACAAGGAGTAAAATTTGGAAAACACAGCATCTACTCAGACTCTGGAACAAACTCAAAAGCCCAGTGGAACTGATGAGCAGCTGGTAGGCATTCTTTGCTAGAACTGTCAACTTCAACCTCATTAGCTAAGGATGCATGAGGAAAGACTAACAGTACTCAAGGACTCTACAAACTCACTGAATAAGGAATAAAAATATTATTTGAATGATGCAATTAGTCAAACCTCTTTTATTTTCCACCCTCTCAAGCCTCAAGGCTCACCTGTGCAATCTGTATTGGCTGAGATAGAGGGATCTGCGTCATCGGCGTTGCAGCAGAGGCCGAGATGGTGGCACCAGCAGCGCTGTGCTGCTGACTGGCTGAATGCTGCACTGCAGCCGCCAGCAACTGTGCCTGCGCCTGTTGTAGCAATAACTGTTGCTGGGCTGTCGTCAACGTGAGCTATAAATAATTAGAAAACACAGCCATTAACAATGGAAAGAGCCACTTCAGCTACAAAGTCATTAGCTAGCTCATTACTAGTTATATTAACCAGACATTCCTACAACTATTACTACAGTTCAGCCGTTAACTAGCCGATGACTCTGGCCTTAAGTAAGAATAGCTGTCTACTCAACACAGTGTAGAAACCAACCTGCCACAGACCTGACATAAACCAAACCGCACCAACGCAAACATTTGCACTTACTGGAACTTACAGCACCTATCTTTACTCCCAAGTTTTCTTCACAACACTACCAGGAGGTCCAGGAGAAAGGTAATTAAGTAGCAAGCAAAAGAAAAGAATCAGTATTGCCAGGATTTGAAAGGAAATTTACACCCAGCAGAACAGCAAGTGATTAGCCAGATGAATGAGAAGCAGGAATGCTGGCTATGGCTACTGAACAAACTGATAACACCCCAGCTGCTTCACATTAGCATGAATCCCTGCCATATTCCATCATTTCCATTATGCCCTAAGATATAAGTAAAGAACATGAGCTCCATTTGTTTCTCTCCAAGTCTCCCCATCTGCCTTTTTTTTTTTTTTTTTTCTTTTTTTAAATAGAATAGAATTGGCAAGTTTACATCCCTTCCCTTTCCCAAACACACATTATCTCTGTGAAACAGGTGGCAGCAGTCTCCCCTTTACATATAAATGACTCTTGATACCCATATTTACTACAATCCATATCTGCCTAGGCCTGGAGTTTTGGATGTTTCACTACTGCAAGACAATCATAAATTAAAACAAACCAGTATTTTTTGAGAATGAGAAGAAAAATATGTTGAGTTTTAATAAGGTATTAAAACAGTCTCACTTTTAAAACTTTCAAACGCAATTAACCAAGAACTAAATAGGATGTTTATTTATACACTAGCACACAAGAAGATCTGACAATTGAACATGAAATTAAGACGTCACTTCATTCAAGTGCAGAGATGATCTAACCTAATACTTCAAATCATAAATACACTGTTGGAACAACTGCCCTGAATTCCTTATTAACATTCAAACTCTTAAAACTGCAAAGCTGATTACGTAGAAGCAAACTCTTTAACCAAACCAGTCCATTCACAAAACTTGCTCTTTTTTTAGATGACTGAAAGCATTTATATCAATTCAGAAACACCAGCAATCCTAAAACAACAAGTATTCCATAATTATTCCCAAAGCTTTACAAATTTACAATTAAAAAACTCAAAATTGGTAGGTTAAAATAGAAGGGCTGAATAGACTTAAGGCAAGCACTAACATAGTTACTTAAAAAGAAATATGTTTGAGAAGAGGAAGAGCATCAGCAGCTCTCATCATTTTTGTCCTCCACCCTTACCTGCCGATAAGATTTAGTCTCATGCTCCTGTTGCCTCATTTTAATCTTGCGAAAAAATAAAGAATAAAAAATTCCTCTTTATGACATCAGTGACTTTCTTATTTCTATCGACACCAAGTTTTAATTTCATTGCAGAGTCAAGACGGATACTGAGAACAGAGGGAAATTTTTTTTTTTTGGAAGCAGCTACTTTGCAGCAAAACCCAAAGATTAAAGTCTGCTTTTTTTACAGGAAGGTATTTTCTCTCCCCTCTTTCGCTCAAGTTTCTTCCTGTGTTAAAGGAAATTACAATAACCTTCACTGACAGTTCTATGGGGACTGCTGTAGATCCTGCCATCATTTGCTGGACAGGAGGCTTACTGCAGTATACTTGGGTAAATCTTACCCCAGTGATCTGTCCTCCGGCCAGCATGAGCTGGGTCTGGGGTATGGCCGCCTGCACTGAAGGCTGCTGGGAAGGCTGGCTTGGCTGCTGAGAGTCCCCAGATTCTTCATTAGATTTAGACTAGTCAAAAACAAATACAACTCTTTATAGTGTAAAACAGATGTTAATGTATAACACTGCTATCTCAACACTGCACAATAAAAATCTTTCATCTGCATACAAAAAGCCCTTGGGTTTATTTTAAGAGTGTGTTTAAGCAATGGCTCTATGTGCCCACCATCTCAGTGACGATTGCTCAAACATGCCTGTAGGTAATGCAGTTTAAACAAAACAAAAAGACTCTCAGGGCTTTTGTAACTCTGACATTATTTTCAGGTCTCATTTCATGTTATGCAATGCAACTGAAGCTGACACTACCTTTCAACATAAAGAAAGGTTGTTAAAATCATTCATTCCCTAAAATCCTGAACAATGGAAAGGAGATTGCGTTTCCATTTTCTGGATCTGCATCTCTAAGTCATCATACTGTTGGCTTATACAGAACTGGTTGAAGAAATCCTCACAGGTTTATCTACCTACAGCAAAATACATAATACATACAGTGCTTTTAAATAATGAAATTTTAGCATTTATTTAACTGAATGCTGCTTTATTTTAAAAGATTATTTTTCTGTGTCTGGTTTTGGGTTTTGTTTCTTTAAAAAGAAGAAATAGTGAAGACATGAAGGAGGAAATGCAAGTGCATGAAGGAAGAGAGATAGTTTTATGATAATTAAAACTGGTTATGCAGAACATTAAAATTCTGCATAGATTTGCATATTTTCCACCACCTGTTTTGGGGACTGCAGAGCAGGCTAATTAACATAAAGGCTCTGATTAATTCTGCCAGTCATTGAGCGATAATTACAGCGCAGGACTGTAAACATTCTGCACTGGAGATACAGCCTGTTTGCCAACATCTCTCTCAGGGATGGAAGTTTACCATGGCAACCAAGGCAATTTTCTGCCTCCTTCCTCTTAGAAAGGAAGGTCACTATACCTCCTCTTCTTTCCAAATAGTTATTATGTATAAGCGGCTCCACATTCTATTGCATTTCATGTAATGCACTACCTACATTCTTTAATAACAAGCAATACTGAAACCAGTTTTCAATAAAACTGCATCCCTTGCCCCTTAATATAGTACTGAGAGAAACTGGCACATTAACTGATACACTGAAGTGTTCAGCATCATAAAAAAGTTTGAAAGCTTTGTTGTCTCACGTACATTACTAAACAACAATTACTCTGACTTATTTTGAAATCACTATATGTTATTTACACAAGCAATCTACACTAGCCACATTACATAGTTAAAGTTACATTATACTCCTATATTCAGCTACCACAAGTAAGGACAAATTGCAAAGTAATATTTGCTATGTTTAAAATAAGTGAATAAATGGAAGAACATGAAATATTCCTGGAGTTTTATAGTTTTCATGATACAGCACCTGACTGAAATTCAGTATAAAATTATGATCACTGTATGTTTTAAACTACACCAGTTTCTGAATGCTTACAATCCTGAAGCTGATTTACAGCTGTAAAATGATTATTCCCTCATACCTATTACTTCCAAGACCAGTCAGAATGAAAAAACAGAGTAACATATCTTAGGTTAAAAACTACCTCTAATGGGACCATAATGCTGTTGGGAATGAGAGAAGGACAAGCAGCAGAAGGAAATTGTCTTTACCTGTACACTTAAGGACTGAGCAGCAGCCTGTAAACTTGTTCCAGCGAGCTGGACCTACAACACAGTGCAAAAAATGGAAATTAAATAATGTAGAATCCACAGAAAACTTTAACAATGTAAAAAGAACAACCTCCCCACCCTCACCCCAACAAAAACTCCCCCAAGAACAATGCATGCCCCTCTAACACCTGAATCAGTGAAATACGGGTTGTGCTCCAGGCTGAAAAAAGTCTGTAAGACTCTTCCACAGTGTTATCTGTCTACCTCTTGCTGAAGGTATTCCTGCCTAGGGATCTAGGTATTATCATGAAATTGAGTTGAAACACGAGTATTTTGTGGTGGACAGGCTAACTATTCCTGTTCCTATTAAAAGAATCCAGGCTTCAGGGGAGGGCGCTAAGTTCTACTCATCATCATGCTTCTAATATTTCACAATGGGTCTTAGCCCAAATATGTACACTGCATTCACCTGCTTCCTTATACAACAGAGGAACAATCACCTGCATAGCACAAACCCCACAGCATAAGCACTCTTCCTCAAATCAACCCGTTCAAGTATTTGCAGTCCTCAGCCACTGAAAAGAAGATCTCAATACAGAGGACTGAAGACACTTTACAGAGGCCATATTGATTCAGGTATACTTAAAACTTGAATTCAATGTTTGTGATTAACAGGTCCAGGGAAGTTCTTGCGGGTTAGCAGTGAAGAAAAACTGATGCTTCAGAAAGCGAGATTTTTAAAGAGTGCTATTTTATCTCTAATAAGGACTTTCTCTGTAAAACAAATGCTAAATTTTCATTTACTGAAGACTGTTTTAACCAGTCTCCTCTTGTTTCTACCACCACTCCTACTATAAGGAATGCTATGTAATTAATTACCAACACTTTCAAAGGTCAGAGTTACAGCCTGTAGTGAATTCCATCTCTGGTCATGTTTGAAAACCACTGCTCATTCGAAAACCAGGCAACACGTAAGGATACAATAAAGCAAAGCAAAATGTAGCACTCTTGCCTCTATAAAAAGATGTCCCCACATAATATACATCACAAAAGAGAGTCCACACATCTGCAAGCACAGGAAGGAGGGTATTAATTTAAATTGCAGTACATTAAATTAATAACTGAATATTTGAACAGGCAATCCTTAAGAGTCATCTTGGAAATATTTCCTGCTGCTATAGATGAAGGCACTAGACTTACTAAGCATGTTCTACATCTAAGCAAACACACCCAAAAAAGCTCCTCCTCATCAGAAGCACAATATAGTTTTACAGTTGATGTGATCCGAGCTTTTAACATGAATTAACAGCAGAGAATAACCTAAACAACAGTAGCCTACCATCCAAAAAATATACTCAGAAATAATACTTTAAAAATTACATAATAATAAAAAACCCACATATAAGACTACAAAGGTATCTCATTCAGGTATGGCCAGCATATTCCTGAAAATCGCTTTGAATGAAATTTGGACACCCCTCTGTCATGTCCTGCTCAGAAGAGGGAGACAAGTGACTTAGATTTGTAAATACCCAACAGAGTGGACAACAGTGAGACAAGTCTCAAAGTCCATACAAAAACATTTATTAATTTTCCACAGTGTATTAATTGCATACACAATAATTGACTAAGTATATAACAAATTATGGCAAGCAGTATGATATGCCTTGCATTACTTAATGATTACAAGGAAAGGGAGGAAAATAGAAGAAGAGAGAGAGAAATGAGGACAGAGATCACCAGTCCGGGTTCCTGCGTTGGTCCCGTTGTTAGCAATCACAATCGCGAAGAAAACTCATCTACACAAAGTAGATAAGCAGGAACTTTTATTCCAGCGCTGGGGAACATGGGGGACAGCTCCACCAAAACCATGTTCCCCAGCAGATACAAAACACAACATATTTATACACCTTTTCAGCAGAGTCATGGTTACATAAGTTCTTTTACATAAAAATGCATAGAATGCTCGCTTCTTAGTTTTGACCTTTACAATGATTGGTTTTATCAGTTACCTCACCTTATTCATACTCCTATTCTAAAGTAATCATTGGTTAACTTTACTGATTGTAATCCTTGATATTCAAATCAAAGAGGGGAGGGTGTATTGACAATAGTGATTAGCATATTCATGTTATTTCCTGGAAATCATTATCATACGCAAATGTCTCCAACGCATGCGCGGTTATGTTGGACGGGGGTCGTCTGGTGGTTGTCGATAGTCTTCCTCACTGTGGCTGCTGACTGAACTCCATCCTTGCGCATGCTCACTTCATTCTTTGGCTGATCTCCCAAACCAAGACCAGTTTTTTCTGGGGCCCATTGTTTTAATTCAGAGTCCATAACGATTTCCATAGTAATCAAGGCAAACACAATACTAGTTACTTATTTCTAAGACCTTAACATAGCCTATGTTCTCATAGCTACTGTAACTCTGTATCACCCATATAACCAAAAATCAAAATCATATTCTAAGATCCAAGCTATTTCATTAGGGTAATTGTAACACCATCAATGAGGATTCAAGGATGCATCTGTCTTCTTCAGTCCTGTTATCCTTGCCCCTCCTCAATTTATACACACTTTCCTTGGGTCCCTCCCTTAGGTCAACCCACATATTGACATATCATATGTATGGGGAGGAATAAGGCACTTCATGCGATGTTGCAACTAGCATGATCTTGTTAATCTTCATTAGCATATGCAGAGGTGTCAACTTTAATATGCATTTCACAGATGACAAAGCAAAGGTCATTCACTGGACAGATGGCCCTTGAAACTTTAGAAGATGCACCAGAGCAGAACTGTCCTGTCTCCACAGGGCTTCCTCCTCCAGCCGCAGGTGAGTTTTCTCCTGAATGGGTCACGCGAGTGTCAACCTTATCAGCTCAACAAGCACAAAGATTGAGTAATCCAGACTCCACATTATCCACCCTGTGACTGTAGTTTCATTTTAGGGTACTTGCAAGTGTTTGAGACATTCCTCAGAAAGCCTTTGAGAGCCTCCGCAACCTCCTCCTCCCCCCATTCCTTATCTTTACCAAGTTTCATCGCTCGCCATCGTTTATGCTTCACTCAGGCTACTTATCTCAGTCCTTGTTTTGGGGAGTTACAAGTCATCTCCTACACTGTTCCACCACACAACAAACATTTTCTAATTCGAAATTAAACTGTTCCTGAATGTTGCCTACAACCTAATATTTTATATTAGTCTGGAGGAAAGCACTCTGTGTTAAGGCTGAATCACCCCACTAACAGCAGCCACGCTAGAAAAGGACAGTTTGACAATAGATTCACACACACCTGCAGGTGCATGAAAGAATAGCTGAGATTTTCCTTTGAACTAGAGTTTCAAGAAATGAATCACACTTTATCAAACATGAAGTTATAAAAATCCTGACAACTGTTTAAATAAATACATTTCCAAAGCATGAGAAAGCACTGTGCTAAATACAATTACTGTCCCGGATCAATCTATACAACAAAATGAAGACTAAAACAAACAGAAAATTCTGCAGAACAGCTGTATCTGTCTCCATGTTAAACACATACTGACAACCCAGGAAAACTAGTCAGCTTCTCTCCACATAAAGGCAGCCTACAACAGCCTATTGGCTCAGCAAATTCAAACACTGGCACTCCCTAGGTCCTATATAACCCAATCTACTAGGAAAATTGTAATTATGTGACAAGACATGTGGAATGTTCCATACAATAAAATGGCAGTTCAGAGCTCTTAAAGGAGGGCATAAAAGCTTCAGTACGTCAATTATACCACAATAACTGTGCAACCTCAGACCTCAAACATTCAAGGTCAGCCAATTAGGTACAGTACTGTAAAGTTTAAACTTGCTACTGAGGAAGGGAAAGAAATTAGGACATTTGTTTTCATACATCAAGTGTGAACAGATAAAAAACTACCAAAAAATGCCCCTTACACTTCTCTTCACCTAGGGATGCCCCACTTTGCTTCAGCCTACATCTGAAGTTCAGCTTTGATTCCCTAAACACAGCAGCAGCAGAATAAAGGGATAGTAGTGGAAGCCTGAATATCATCTGACAAACAGATCTTTGAAATAACTTTTTTAAAAAATAAATTTAAAAACTCACAAACCAAATATGCTTAGTAAGTATGATCACTTTATATTTCTAGTTAATGTGTAAGAGCTTGAAAGACTGAAGCATACTTCTGACTACCATTCAATACAACTTGTGGCTTCTTAACTAGGTAGTGACAGTTTCAGAACCTTAGCAACTGTTGGGCCAATACTTTATATATTTAACACTTTATATATTTTAATATTTAATCTTTACTAAAAAGATTAAATTTTACCTTGCCTTTCAATTTGGTATCTCCATTAAGGTTTAAAAAAAACCAAACCAAACCAAAACAAAACAAAAAAACCAAAACAACAAACCAAACCAAACCAAAACTAAAAAACAAACAAACAAACAAACAAAACACTTTAGGCATTCTCAAGTCCTCAGAAAGGGACTTTGTAGTTCCCCCAAATAGATCTCACCCTACCTTGATATATTCTACAGTCTAATGCAATGAAGTAAGGACCACAATAAGAACTTCTTCCCATGCAAGCTATTTAAGCATGTGGTCTATCCATATGTTCCTTTACACAGCTACCCATCATTCACAGGAAGAGACAACATAGAACATACAAGAGCAGCTGCATTTGTACCTGCCCAAGTCTCCCTTACTTTGAAATGGGTCTTCTCTTACCTGATGAAGGTGCCCAAAGAAGGCCTGGGCCTGGGCTGTAGAGATTGCTCCTCCGACAGGCACAGGCTGCTTTTGAAAGTCCAGGCCATTTGTTTGCGTGCCTGGAGAAAGAGAGATATTAACAACTATTAGTTATTACTTTTATGAAATAGAATAAGAATTAATATTCCCAAGTCCCCTGTTATTCTCTCAATACTACGTAGTAGAAAAATAGTCTGAGAGTAACAAGAATTTCAGTTTTTTTACTGAAAAGGGGTATGGGGAAGCAATGTCACTTCTAGACTTCAGTAATATAGCATTTGTCAGCTGAACAAAATCAACATAATATTTTCTTTAGATTCTATCATCTTCCCTACTCTACCATGATTTGAGAACCAAATGGGTGCATGCTGCTACAGTTAAACTGTGTTTCTATTTTCCATGCACTCTCTATCCAGCAGGTGACAACTATCTTCAACTTCAGAAAGTGGCAAGAACAAGGTTCATATTAAGTCACCTTTCATTACAGACAGGTAAAATAATACTTGACTAAAACATTAGTGCCATATATACACAGCAGTTATGGGCCACAGTTTTACTCTTTTGATAAAAGATATCTCCACAATTCCATGAATATTTGTGCAGAGCTCCCATTACATAAGATAACTGCCTGGGCTTGCTTTTGCTCTTACCCACCTTCATATAACTAAAACCCGATTATTTTCCTACATTTTTGTTGTTTTAAACAGCTCATCACACATGAAAACCCCCAGACTATCTCCAAATAATCTGGCTGTGACAAGCAAAAGGAAAAAAAAAAATAAAAAGGAACTAAAATTTTTTTCCATGAGAAACTACCACAGAATTCTCTTCTGCCAAGAGGAACTATACTACAAACTTTTAAGAATCATTCTGTGGGGAGATGATAAAATCAACATTAGGGATTATCAACAACTGGTTTTGTATGTTGGGTATTACTACCTACAGTGTCTAACAAGAAAGGAGACTCTATCAGGCTGCATGGAATTTCTAGAACAGATGATGCAATTTAAAAATTATGTGACTGAAATGAAGTAAAACCAGCTTTAGACTTGCATGTTTACTCTTCATGACAATCAGATTTTGTTCAATGCCTATGGACAGGTGTTCAACTAATTCCTACTTCAAAATTCCTTCCGTTATCTACATTTTTCACCATAAAAATCTAGGTTATCCATTATGCAGGAGAGTCACTGGGGTGACTCTCACAAAACAACAGGGGTTTGTTATTCCTTTGAAACATCTGCAAAAGCAAGTGGGTACAAAATTTGGTTAGTAAAATACACTATCCAATATTTTACATTGCTATTTTGACCTACAAGCAGATTACATAGATAAAATTTCCAAAGATGAAGTCACTGTTCAAATAAATACAGATACAATATAAATAGTCAAGCTTTCTAGTACCCATGTAAGTTATACCTCACATGGCCCTTTGACACATCTTTGGTGGAGGTGTGGTGGAGGAGGTGTTGGTCTACTCTCAAGTTTTTAATTCTATGCTTTGGGCCAGGGTTTATAGACTTGAGACACATGTGCAGCCAAAGATCCACAGGCATGTTAAAAATATTAAGATTTTAAACTACATAAAGTTGTTTCGCTTTAATGAGTCTAAAATTCCAATCCAAAGTGAATGGGAGGACAATCACTGGTCTGAAGTGATCTTGAATGAATGCAACTTAGTAGCATTTCTCCAAAGAAAAGTAGGTAAGAAGGTCTGCTGCAAAGAGGTAGAAGAATAGCATCTATTTTCATTCTTTGCAGTAAACCGTAGAATTCCCATTTCTGAGAGGAACAGTTGGAAGCCTCCCTTAAATAAACAGGTGAAGCTGTTCTAGTTAACTATCTTTCAAAAAGAACCTCAAATCATGATACCATATTAAAAGAGCACTGTTGTGCATGTGTGCAGAAGAAATGCTCCAGTTAGCGCTTCTGCCGGCTCTTAACACAGAAATTTGAAACAAGCCTCCTAGGGTTGATAGTTTTGAACAAAGCCAGTTCTAAGACTGAGCTTAAAATTCCCATGGGTCCCAAAAAAACAGATCTAACTGGTACTGAGAGAAAACAACATTTTCTTTAAATTCAACCTTGAAGGACTCCAACTCTCTCTCCCCACATCTCCCAAAACCAAACTCAGAGCAAAAAGCCCCAGAAGACACCTGTTCACTCTATGTTCTAACTTGCATCTTAAGCTTTCTCTGGTGTTTGGAAGTACAGTGTCCCTTCCCCTTTGGATGCAGCTTTAGTTTTGCAAGCAATGTTACACAGGTTGCTTGCATTTATCACAGGATGCCAGAGTCTCTTGAAGAACATCAGGGAAAATGAACTTTGAGTCGAGCGTATGAGGCCTTGCTCTTTAGGTGATCATAAGGATGTGACACCACTCCTGTGGAATCCAAGAAATCTGATATGGAGACTGGAAAATGGAGCTGTCAAAAGCAGAAAGTCAGCACATTGCAAGGACACGAAAGGACCAGAATGCCACTTCTGCTCAAGGTTAAATGCAAAAACCCATGATGATTAATAGACATGGCAGATGCAATGGCAAGTATTGTGAGTTTAAGAGTGCCAACTATTTATGTCTTTTCCACCTCCATCCCATAACTGCTCCCGTAACTGCTAGAGCTGATCTAACAGCTCACCAACACCAAAAAACAACCATGATGGGTTTTTTTTCCCGATCTCCCATCTCCCCTTTCTTCTTGGTTCCAACTACTTTGACCCTGTCCTGCCCCTTCTGGCAGTTCACGGACACAGCAATAAGCCAATCCACCTTTCTAAGTGAGTAGAAAACTATTCACGTGAACTGTTCCAGTTATGTGAGATTAAATAACTGACTTTAGGGCCCAGCAAGCGGCAGATAATGCAAAGCAGGGGAGGTCAGAGATGTGGTAGCAGGGAAGTGAACCTCACCTGCCCTCAAGTTGTTAAGACTGAATCAAGCCGTAGGATGAAATTTCATCCTTATAGGCCAAATCCAATGCAACTTAAGCACGTTTAAATTCTGGCATAAATTCAGCCATGTGGTTAGCTACTTCATGGAATTGGTTTGGATGAAGATTCATACTAAATGCAATTAATCTTCAGCCAAATCAAATCTCTGAGCTACCTCACTCAGTGCCACTCCAGGGAAAGGAACAGGACACTAAGTACCAGGACACCCTGAGCACGGATGAGTTTATGCTGTCTTGGAATTGTACCTGCAGAGTGTAAAGGCACGACAAAACGAAGCAGGCGAGATAATGTTGCATCTTTAGCCAGGAGAAGAACATAATCTTAAAATTCAAGATCATTAATCATCAGACTTTAGTCTGAGTTTACAAACTACCTAAGAACAAAAGAGGAGTGAGGGACTACGGGTCTGGGGAAACGTGGAGTAAGGTGCACGAAAGGACTCAGGAAGTGGAGGCAAATGAGGAAAAGGAAGATTTCAAAACTAACTTGAGTGGTTATCTGCACTGTGCTCTGGGAGACATCTGCCAGCATCTACAGTACGTGTTTCCATCTCTCCCCCGCCTCTCTGTGTGTGTATGTTGACAGAGAGAGATATCCCCAATACTGAGAGTGTTGATTCCTTGTCCACATTGCTAATAAGAAGTTTAGCATTGTTATTTGCCCAGAATTTTATCATTTCAAAAATTTTTCAGGGTCCCTCTCCCACTCTCCTATAGACTTTCTTCTTATGGAAACTGAAAAAACAATCTCTGGAAATGAAGCAATATAAACAAAAATTCTTAAAATCATTCCAAATACTACACTTAGAAATATTATTTTGCTGCTATGTCAAGGCATGTCAAAATACAACACTTTCTATAGATATTATAACCTTGGCTTTCATAGTACTTAATTTACACAGCTTTTTAAAAAGAATATGCATTAAACAAACAAACAAACAAAAAGGTTTAACTGTTTTGAAAAATGTTATGCTATAACCTATAAAAAGGGAACCAAAAGGGCTATCTGTTTACTGTAAGACACTCTTCTTACTTATCTCTCTTTTTTCCAGTAGATATTAAGTAGACTGTCCACCCACAACTGAAGGTTGGAAAATGTTTGTGTAATTCTGCAATACTGATGACCAGTTGATCAATTAATATTTTTGTGAAAACCACCATGCAACAACTCTTGCACTCATACAGACTTATTCTGTTGCTGGTTTTAGCTCCTTTGAAATATGGGTTGCTCTTTCAGATGCTTAAAAGGGAATTCTAGTTCGCACAATAATTTTAAAATTAAAATCTGTTTCAGGCATTTTATTGTGACCAATGGATTCAGGGGGCTTTTCTGTGTTCCCTAAATAGTCAGAATTAGAAATACAAAAACCTAATTTGATAACTTCCATGAAATTTAGCTGTTAGCTCAGAGAACTACTGATGTTAAGTCACCTTTAACACAGTGGCGACCATATATTTTTTTTCCCCTGAGAACAGTAGCTCTGCCAAATGTAAATTCCATGCACTACTGTAATTTCTCTTACAATTTTCAAATTGCATCAGCTTACTACAGTATAAAACAGGAATGACCCAAACAAACATCCAGTGAGGTTTGAAAGACAGACTAGTAGTGCTTACACAGCAGACAAGTGATTTACAAATGTCACTGGAAAACAGTTACAGGAAGTTACAAAAATAAGAACTCTGAGTGTTTATAAAAATCACCTTCACACATTTTGCTACAGGGCCTATGCTCCCCAGACAATGGCACCTCCAGTTTCTTGGTATCCAAGGCTGAAAGTTGACTTCTTTTCACTAAGTATGCACAGATCCCAGATCCAAAACCTGAGTACCCTGATCAGAAGCCTAAAATTACATTCCTTGAGTTTTCCTATCAGGGTTCAACACCTGCCAGTTGACTAATGCAACTGATGCTTGAGCCCCCAAAGAATGTCACAAATGCCATTAATAATTACTTCCAGTGGTTTATAAGCACTATATTTAAGAACAAAACAATGACTGCAGAACAAAGGGTCCTAAAAATTTCTGGATTATTTTAGTTTTCATCATTTAAAAAGTCAGGAAACAAAACTGAAAGGAATCACTGGGAACGCTTAAATTACAGAAGTAATGTTTGCAAAAGGTCCAAACATGGGTAAAACTTCTGTAATAACTAACTTTAGTATTAGAGTATAAAAAAAATGCAGATGTGTAAAGTACCTACATGCAGCTTTACAATCCGTCAGTTTCTTCATACCATGACCACTACCTTCACACTGATAAAGTATTTGCCTAGGAGAGCAGAAACAGGGTTCTGATGAAGCTGATCACAGAATACCAGGTTGGAAGGGACCTCAAGGACCATCTGGTCCAACCTTTCTTGGCAAAAGCACGGTCTACACAAGATGGTCCAGCACCCTGTCCAGCTGAATCTTAGAAGTGTCAGATGCTGGGGAAGCTGCAATGTATCTGGGATAAACCAAGTCCTCCTGATTAACAGCTTGGTTTAGGTGAAACTGCTAGTTAAAGCTGCACTTAAGGAAGCACATTGGGAATACACTCTTCGGAGAAATCATAGGCAGGGAACTGTGGTCATACAGAGTAGGAAGTCTGAATTTTCTCAGAAGTTTACAACACACCCTCCAGCTATAAGGATTCTATAGGGATATTTAAAACTGTTGTTCTCTTTATGCTGTTTATGATTATGAAATATTTACAGCCCATATGTTTTTTGAAATAATGTTTTATATCATCCTAAACCAGTATTAAATACATAATAAATCATTTTTGCATGTAACAAGAATTTATATCTGTCCTGTTACAAATACAAAGGAAATTATAAAAACTGAGAGGCCAGTAACAAAACACACGTTAATAAGCGAGCAGAATTCCTTTTGACCGACAACCTGTATTGACAGAAAGCATCCAACCACTTGGACCAGTATCAGGAACATTCAGCCACTCTTAGCTGCATTAAAGCCTTGCACAAAGAATAAGAAGACAGCAGCATAAAGTGAAATAAATTGTTAATTTCATCCCAACTCCAGGGTTTAAAATAAAACTCTTATTATTGAACCAAGAGGAAGAAAAATAATTTTCCTCATACAAGGTAACTAGACTTCTCTCAAAGCAACAAGTTCCTTTTCATTATTCTCTTTCCAAATGCTACTCAGCTCAAAGAAGATTCTGAGTTCAGTTAAAGTATTTACTTTCCATTCAGAAATGTTCTCTTGTTTTAAAAATGAACATTAAATTACCTCCAGAAAGGAATTAAAGCATGAGATAGCACGATTGGGTTATAGTGGCTTAACAAGCTTTTTCAATGGCTTAGAACTTGGCCACATCTTAAGGATGCACCAAGAGGCACACTGGCCTTGACACAAAGGCTATTCTTCCCCAGCCAAATTTCAAGATTTTGTTCTAACATATGAAGAAACTACAGAAAAGCCAAATAACTTTTTTTTTTTTTAATGTTGAGAAATTATGCTTTCTCCCTTCGACTTGTTCTTGAGAACTGTTGTGAGAGCTTGAATGAAATCTAAAATGGAAACAAGATCAGCCAATGGCACACATCTGCCAGGGAAGATCTGAACCCGAAAATAAATGACAAAATTAATGGTGGTGAGGGTACATTCTGCCAGGAAACAATGAGACTACTTATGGAGAGCTAGTGCCACCAGACCTTCCGTAATATCAGAAACATTAGAGATAGAGGAAGAGGGAAATGTCTTACATACAAAGTGTGGATAGTGCTCTGATACAGTATGTGTAAATAACGCCCTACATACAGTAGGGTTAATGACAAAAGTTCCCAAGTCTCCAAAAACAGTAGGTGTGGGGGTTTTTTTCTGTTTTGTTTGCATTATTTTTTTAATTCTTGTAAACTGGTGAAGAAATTTTGCTTTTAATTTCCATTCAATTCCACCAGAAAATATCTGTACACCAATTATCATTTCTTACCTGTGTTCCCATCCCCACTCTCCATGGATGGTTTACTGGTTTCTGACGGATTGTTCATTCTTGAGTCTGCATTAAAACAGAAATAAAGATAAGCTAATACAGAGGGAAAAAAGAAAAAAAAAACACACACACAAATCTATTCATATCTACTGGTTCAAGGGAACTACAGCACATCAGGAATTTGATGTGTTTTACCCTAATTCAGATTACAACACAGAAAGAATGATCAGAAGCAGAACTCAATACTGAATCTTCTGATAAATATTGTTTCAAAATTTTTTATGTCATTATTCTCATATGCGAAAACATGGTGTTAAGGGAATAAAAGACAGCATGCTGAGCGGCAAAGATAGGTATGGACTTAATTTTCAGTACAATGAAAGTCATAAAAGCAAAACAAGGGAGGGGCAGGGGAACGGAGGAAGGAACAATGACTACATCAAGATTTTAAAACATTATGTCTGTAGGCCACCACCATGGCCTACATTATTCTTGTGTTGGGTTTTTTCCCCCGTAAGATAAAGAAAATTCAGTCATTATAATTAAATAGATGCCATTTTCCTAATACTACATTTTTATCTTACAAGAATGTCACTGATGTTATTTTATGTTTCCTATATATTCATGCAAAACCATACAAATATAAAATAATTCCTCTTCCTTCTCCCTTTGGATGAATCTATTGTAAAGTCTGCTCTTGGTTTCAAAGCTTGTCAGCTGAATATAGTGCAATGCAGAGAGCCTCTCCAGATGGCAGACAGAGAATATAGTTTCTTTGTATAGAAATCTATACAGATGTTCTGTGTACAGCATCAGCTCTCCAGCTTATTACCTCCTCATTTGTTGCTACCGACCTCAGTATGCCACATTATCACAAACCAAAATTACAAAAAGAATCTCAAGACACACCAGTTGATAAAATGAAGCATAAGCAAATCCTTAAGCACATTCTTCCATTCCCATAACCAGTTAAACCCAAGTTCAATGAACTCAAAATAAACCCTTTACTTGAGGATATTCTCTTGCTAGGTGCTTAAAAGGTTACCTCTGTCATGCACTTTCATCAAACCAGTGATTTCCAAAATACCAAAGGGCTGAAGAATACAGTAATAGTATTAACTGCTGCATCTTTCCCCCAGATATTTCCGAGAATGCCCAGACACTTCACTGCTTGGCAGTCTGTGAGAGCTGGAAATGAGAAGCCAGATCACTGCCGTGTACTATCACCTGCTACTGCCCTGAGACCAGTGCCAACCTCAGGCTACCAGAACCTGGCACGACAGCAGCAGAGAAATGCAAGCACAAGCCAGGAGGAATGCAAGCATGTAGACAGGGCCTGAATGAAAACAGGAGTCCTGATGAAGCCTGGCTGGGAGCACAGGCTGGGAAGAGGAGGGAACTAGTTAGGAATGAAGCACATGTGAGAGAAAAGATAAGAGACATCAACCTTGAAAGAACTTCAGTAAGCAGTCAGGAAACACAATTTAAGACCCGTCAATATTTTTAAAACAAATGTAATTTTCCACATAAGCAACGGCTGCAGTTGAACCCAATACGGCCTAGAAAGCTCTAAGGACTGTAACAAACAGGAATCTTCCCCCTGAGAAGTTAACGCAACCTCTCCAGAGCCTCAACTCTTCTCAGAAAGTTCCTGTGCCCATCCATGCTTGATTCTTTCAAATGTCAACCACACATAAAAGAGATCTGAACTATCAATGTTACTCTTATAATAAAGGCAGACATGTTAAACTGCTTTTTTGAAAGGGAGAATGAGTGAGGAGAAACCTTCCAGCCAAGCACTGCTGGCCCACACTTTGGCAGAAGGCTGAAAGTTTTGCCCTGTTTTTCACAACCTCTGCTAAGCTGATTCAAGCTATGAGTTCATAGTCTTGAAAGACAGAGCTCTGCTAAGGTTGCAGATACAGAACCTATTGCTTCCCAGCTCCTTATTTTGTCATTTTACACATTTGAATAGTATGATCCACAATCTAAAAGCAGAACATGGGTTTCACTGATCACACAGAAATGTTTGTTATTGATGTGCCCCTCCCTGCTGATAGATCTGTGTGTAAAACAAATACAAAGTATGCTCCTATCTAGAAGGTTTTGTGTAGCTTAAATTGAGTTTATTGTTGTGGCAACAGCACATTTATTTAAAGTGATTATGGGCAACATTCATTTGATAAACAGCATTAGTTCATTCCTTGACATGCAGAGAGCTACTAAAATTAGTTTAGGTTCAGATAACACTGAATGAGAGACTTCACTTCAGACACAAGCAGGACGAGTCCTCATCCAACAGGAAAATGTGCAAAGAGGGCTTAGAAGTCCAATACACTTGGTTGTGGAAACCAGGCTAACTCATGGGGCTATTGGACATTGGGTGTATTTTTTAAGCCCAGAGCACAAAGATAGCCTGAACTCATGAGAGCACTAACCACAGAAGGGAACAGGCTGGGAGGATTGTCTCTCAGTGACATAGGGTCCATTCACTAAATCATTTCAGAAAGCTCTTGCAAGAAAAACAAGACAGAGCCCTCCTGTGCTAGTTTGTTGAAGTGTTAGAGCCACTGTGCAGGATACTAATGATAGAATAAACAAACTAAACCCCGAGGAGTGACACAACTGTCCTGTGCATAGAACTCCAAGCAACACACTGTCCATTCCCTCTATGTGAGGAGGCTCATACAACAAATCTTCCCGCATGACCTGCAAGTTTGCTCAGGACAAAGTTATAAATGTACAGACATGGTTTTTGCCAGGCTATGCTGAAAAATAAATCATTTTTTTAAAAGGTTTTCAGTGTTTGCTAGTACTACACATAAAGTTTACTCAACTACCAAAAGCATGTCTAAATGAAGAATATTTTATTGTAAAGATTCATCCCTAACAAAGACCTCAAACATTGCTATTGCAAAAAAGCAGCAAGTTGGATGAAGAAACATCTTTCTGCTATTGCTCAGGTTCAAATGAAGGATAGCATCCATTATTTCACCAGCTGACTATTTCTTGTTCAATCTGTGGGCCTTCTGCATGTGAAGCATCGAGAACAATGCCGCTATTTCCATTGCAAATGCTATGACATACATCTGAAGCACAAAACTGCTACCAGCAAAACAGACACGTATCTGCAGGATACTAAACCTATGAATTCATTATACATCAAATAAAAAGATTATTTGGTTTATACATGTTCATACGATTTCTGCTTTAAAGTTAAAAGAATAAACAAATGAAGTGGGCTAAAAAATCCAAACCATAATGCCCTCACCTTTTCTTTGTCCTTTAGATCTTACTTGGGTTTTAAATAAAAGCCCTGGGTTACAACTTCTGCCAACATTATCTAAAAACAAACTCCACAGAAGGAAGGATCGAAAGCAGCAGGTGCATGATTGAAATCAAACTCTCAGGAGTGGATAACGCTCAGTACTGCTACTGCACTAGCAGGGCTGAGGGTGTCGCAAGGCAGTGCTGTGCCAGGCTTTCATACACCCTCAGTAACATTTCAAAAGGTATTCAGAAGAAAGAAGCAGCAGACAGGACACTGGACCAACCTGGAGTATTAGCAACTGCACAGCTAGTAAAACACAGAAAATCTTAACACGGAATATATCATTAACTATTTCCTTTCACCCATTAAAGTGAAACTGCCTGACACTCCATCAGCACCAGCAAAAATGATTCATTGATAAATATGGAAAAAACAAAGTTCAATGTGAGCAAAAACATGCCAAAATTTCTTTAGAAATTCATTTTCCAAAAATCCTCTTCATATTCAGAAACAAATATCCAGATGTCTGCTTTAAAACTTAGCATTGAAAAATACATTCTCTTTGACATATAGGTTCTTATATGGACTTATATAATGGAATCAAAAGAATAAAAAAAATCTCAACATTTTGCTTTGGAGAAAGAGCCTTGAAAATAAATTAGACCTATTGTAAAATTGGGATGATCTGTTATTATAAATAACCTTAAAAGGCATGAAGAAGAAATTATGGCATGTCTGTTCTGCAGTCCTGATGGAATCTCAGCGCAGGAAATACATTATCCTAGTAACCTTAGGCACAGCTTGCAACGGTATCAATGGCAACCACTGTGCACTCCACCTTATTTTCTAGTGTGCCTGAAGAACCTAGCTATTACATTAAAAATACACAGACATAACATACATTCTGTTGGGGAATGGCTCAATACAGCTACTAAATTCTTTGAGACTGGGACTCTCATTCATTTTAATGCTTTAAAATTCATAACACACCAATATGGAAGTCAAGTCCAGTGTTTGTTAGAAGCCAAATGCTTCTCAGATTGAAATCCTAAAAGCAAAAGGTCTGTATTAATATCATCCAAGCCTAGCAGCAAATCTCTCCAGTGCAAAGGAAACAAATTCTCCTAGAGCAAGGGAAAGAAGAAGAAGAAAAAAACCAAACCATGTATTTGCCTGGTACAGATCTACCTATCTACCAGGCAGCTACTTGCTGCCGATTCACTGGTGAGCTTCAGCCTTACAAATACCTTCTCCAGCCTCTGCATACATGATTAAGCCTCTATGCATAGTCAACCTCACAGCCTCTATTTCCATATTAAAATGCTCATAAGAAAGACCTGAGCTGGTACCCACCTAGAACGTAGTCGTTGCAGTCCAGCATTGCTGTGGTATCTTCTACAGGTTCAGATAGTCCAAGGAATGGGAGAATGGCAATTTCTATCAAATCTACACTACTGCTCTCGACCGAACACGACAGGGAGTGGGGAGGTGGGGGAAGAAATACAACTTCAGTTACACCATAGCAATCTTCAACTGAACAGGGAAACTTCAGTTGCTCTGTGGAGTTTTAGTCTCTCCTACTAGCTGTGTCTGACATTGTCAAGGCGACTGAAGCGTGAAAAGTTCCCCTTTTTGTAATAAAATAGAAACAAAGATTGCAGCTGGCAGTTTCCATAATGAAGCTTAATCAGTATGCGCCTGATTAGGGCCTTATGCAAATCTCCTCTCGTTAGCACAGCAGCCAGCACTTTGAAGTCCATGAACAATTCATTTGCAGAGTACACTGAAAGCGCTC